ATAATATCTGAGATTACACATTACACAGGCAAGTGATCATATTATAATTCGTAAATAAAAGTATTTTTGTCCCTGAATTAACATCGCAACTGTTCAATGTAGTATAAAACATCAATGTACTTAGAATTTATGGTATGTCCATATGTTCCAGTTGGTCACCCGGCTACACCTACAGCTACAATACAAGCTAAACATTCAAACTTGTCTCTCAAAATGAACATCATCTAACCAATGGCCTAACCGAACAATAAAATAACATCTATATTTATTTATTGCTTTCACGTATTCCGTTTCTCGGAAGACGTATGGTCTAATCTATTAGGTACTCAAGCCAAGATTGTACAAATCTTTTACGGAGTTGAATTATTACAAAAAATGGCACCGGTTTTAAAAATATTAAGTACATCTGTCATTAGGGGTTTCATAGTATATCAAACGTGTACAACGAACATTTATAGAGTACAATACAGTGGAAACTCAACAATACTTGTGACATTAGCAACTGTCACTTAAAGGCAATATCATCTGTCACAAATAACATCAATAGAAACTTGTCATTTAGGCCTAGATTCCTTCTAAAATTACCTACTATAAAGAGGGGTCCTAAATAAATTACTAGATATATCCAATTATCTAATTAGGAATTGTTTAAGAGGTAGTGGACCAAGGTATCCTGTTGAAGTAGCTTTGTATGGCAAGGTTTTTAAATGCATAAAGTATAGCATTCCTATATGGCAACTAATTTCTATGGCTTTCATATTAAGTAACACTTGGTGGAAAAATCAAGACAATGTTTAAAATAGACTTATTAATTTTATGGATTTGCAAAATCGTCTCCATCGAGAGCACGGTAGTGGACCGCCAAGTTTAGATATTCTGTACATAATTTTACCTTCACAGTTATTCGAATTCCTTTCACTTTGACTCATATAATTCGTAAGACATTTACATTAAAACAGATAGACGTTTTAGTATCTCACTTTATCTTAGGCCTCATTTACTAAGTTGACTAACACAGACTAAGCATACATTAACTTTATTGCTCTCGAACAAATTGAAGAAAGGCATATAGAGCAAAGATTTTGGCATATTTAATGCTGTTTACTTTTATATTAGTGCCTGTAACATTTAAATATTCGATAATAACAGATCACAATTTATTGCGACTCGCAATCTCGCGCAAACAGCATTCAAATATTATAGAAGTTAAAAATAAAATGCTAAATGTTACTTATCCCTCTTTTACGTAACAATAAATAGTAGCATCACATTGAGGTAGAAGAAGGGGCATATAAAATTCAATTGGTTTAATTAATGCACGAAAATCTTAATAGATATTCCATGCATTGAAACTTTTTGGTTATTTTTTAATTACATATCAAAAGTCATATAGTTTAAGTAGTATGTGTAAAAGTTTAGTTAATCATAGAGAATAGAAACTTTCAAAGACATAGTTGCCAATTAAAAAAATAAACTTGAATATACGTACCTAAACCTTAATAAGTACGTTAGTTTCTATTACATTTTATCATATCAATACATTTTCGTCGTTTAATGGTTATTATACCGTGGTAGACATAACAAAAGTTATGTATCTTAAAGTTAAGATTTTCTTGCTTATCGCAATGTCAGTTTTATGGAATATTTTACATATTCACATAACAATATCTTATCCTTTCCATAGTTGATAGTACAAAGATCTTACGGACTGTTGAACCTCCATGTGGTGTGTTTAAGGCGATGTGTGGTGCCTTCTTCTTCGTCGGAAGACCAGTGCGAAGATGCTTCGAAGACGTCGCCACCGTCTGCGTCCACCGCTTGTCGAAATACCTGTTCCCAATATTGATGCCTGAAAAATAAGTAATTGGTTTTAAAACGAATTGGACTTGGCGATGCACTGCCGTGCCTAGGGTTACCAGGTGAAAAATTAACATTATTAACAATTTCTTTACTCAAAACATAAATAATAGGTAAAAATTGTACATATTCACAAAAAAAGGTGTAATGTAGACATAATGTATACCTGTCTTTGTCTCTCCAGCCGTCGTATTTCCCTAACGAGCGCGTGGAAGGCATCGTCCACAAAATGTCTGAGTGCTGCAGACGTCTCAAAGAATGGACAGCCGAGCTGCGTCGCGAGTGCCCTGCCCTCTTCTGTCGTCACCTATACACATGTTTTATATTAATGTCTCATTATTCAGATCCTATTTTCTAGTAGTCTATTTTGTAGAAGCTTAGGCGTGATATGTTGTGTATGTAAATTCGTATGTATATTTGTAAACCACGCAGATAGGAAAGAAAATTTTAAAGAGTTCAAATATAAAACTAGTAAATACAAAAAAAAAATAGAAAAGACATACCTGTCTAAACCTGGGAGCAAGATCCAGTTTATTCCCGACAAGCACAAGCGGCAGTCTCTCGGAGGGCCTCGCTTGTGCCAGTAGTCGCCTGTATTCGGCGGCCGCGCGGAACGACCGCCGGTCTGTCACCGAGTAACACAGCACAAACCCCTCGCCGCACCGCATGTATTGTTCCCTCATTGCCGTGAACTCCACCTGAATAGATGACAATATTTATCATAATGCTTCATTCATTGAAGGAGTTAAATTCACATAAATAAATAAACAAAAATTAACACTAATCACAACACACTAATACTATAAATGTAAACGTTTTTTAGTTTGCTGTGTTCCACGGCCAAACATGCTGTACACAAACATTTTATTCAACATCTTGTTACCTACCATGTTTTGTGCAAATAAATGATTTGATTTGATTTGTATGTTTGTCCGTCAATCACCCTGAAAGTACTGAACGGATTTTGATGAAATTTGGTATACAGGGCCATAACCATGGCTGATTCAGGTGATAGGATTCTTTTTATCCTGATTGAATGCTCCCATGGGATAAAATAGGAACCACATTTTATGTGGACTAAGGAGTGGGCAACAGCTAGTAAAGTCACGTAAACACCATGTTTTGCTGAAAATTTTTAATATTACTTTGCCTGACAAGAAATTAACCTGAGATCTCAAGTAATCATTCAACCAAAGAGACAAGTAATGTGACTATTGCAAGAAGGTGCTTTTCTTATGTGCATTTTATTTGCAGGACGTATGTTATGCGTTTCTGGAGAATGGAAAATAATACTAGTATAATGCCGGAATACTGAAACGCTACTCAAATTTAAGACGCGCTTAATTAAAGTTCTATATCTACAAATTCTTTGTAAAATGACAGAGATGGCATGATATTTGAGTACAACTTAAAATTGAGTAGCCTTTCAGTATTCGGGGGTAAGTCTATCATTAGGATCACCAACCTGTCCTGCAGTGTCCAGTATGTCCAACAAAGCTGGCTCTCCATCTATCACTGCTTGCTGTTGGTACGAGTCCTCTGTAAGCATAACCATGAACATTACGGGACATATTCTAATAACCCATACAAAAAATGTAGTCGTACAATGTAAAATTTGTGTGCAGCATCAAAACATTACTTTCTGACCTAGGAACAAAATATTTATTCTTTTTGTGCCAATAAAATTATTTAGATCAAATTAGAATTTTTTTCTAAAAAATTAAATGATTTTTAAAATGAGGGTAAATAAGGTTTTGATTAAACATTATCAGATTTCCAGATGACATTGCAAGTGGATAGTGTTCTTTAGAATATATTGATAAACCGAAAAATAATGTATAAATAAAATAATAAATACATAAATCACTTCATAACAGGTATTATTTCATTTTATATGAATATTTTCTTCTCAATGTTTAGCTCCTTATGAAACATTTGTAATATAAACAATTGCTACACTGTTATCAAATGTAAACAGTATTATAAAAGCACTCCAAGTGTTTAGCATATAGCAACTGTAGACTAAACAAACACCAAGTGACAGTACTCAATCAATCCATATGGAACCAAAATGACCAGCAAATATGAGCATTGTTCTCGTCATACCTACGACCACTAGTTAATTTCGAATGTAAACAATGGTCGGAATGTGTTAATTCCGGCAAGTACCTATAGTAGGGTCATGGTAGTCCAAGAAGCTGTGACTGACGAACTGCAGCGTGACGGCGGACTTGCCGACGCCGCCGTCGCCCAGCACCACGATCTTGTAGACGCGGAGGCCGCGCGACGTGCCCGCAGCCTCGACCGCCATGCCGCCGCATGCCTGCGCCCGAGAGCCGCGCCCGCCACCTTCACACCGCAACCACCGCCATGGCCCGCCGCACACGCCCCCGCCGAACACTAACACCACCGTGCCGAATTATCTTACACCACTCAACACTAGGAAAACCCTTTCATTTAACAATGCACATTTTGGTTTATATACAAATAATTTAGGTGTCTTCTATTTCTTCAATAAAAAATCGACAGCTGATTGAAAGCGATTGACATTTCGATTTTGTTTTGATAGGTTGGCCATCTTTAGCTATTATTTGCGTTCGGTTCGTTCCCAAAAATACGAAAACTAGTAAAAATAAACTGATTCGTATTAGTTTATATATAACACAAATAGAGAGTTTATCTTTTTCAAAGAAAGTGATTAAATGTAGATCATATAGTCTTGTTTGTCATATATTCTATTTGTCATATATTTGTCATATAGTCTTCCATATCCATAGTAGTAATTTAATTTGTTTTTTATTGAACGCATCTACAATAGTTTTCGTCATGTTGGTACAGTTTGAAGTTGTCGGTAGCGTTCTAAAAGTTGATTTGAAACCTCAATGGATCATTGAAATACAAAGAAAATGTTATTTCACTTTAAAAACTAACAACAATAATATTAAGTCTTAAAAAGTCAGCTTCGCATAACAATCTAATCATTATTTTTTGCGTTTGATGTAAGGAAAATCTTAGTGCGTTTCCCAAATCCAAATGCACATTATGTCATTGTCAATCAAAAGTGATTGTCAACAAAATCACTGGGCAGCTTCTATGTATTGTTTTCTTTTGATTTGATAAATAAATAAAGTTCCCAGCCGATAATGGCCCATATACAATTCGTTGATGAATTAGTTCGAGAGTATCTACTTTATCGAGGATTTACATCAACAGTGAAAGCGTTTGACAATGATTTGAAGGCTGATAAAGACAAAGGTTTTAGAGTTGATAAAATAGTTGAACAAATTGTACATTATATTAATGTTTCCGACCTGAACGGATTTAAGGACTATTGGTCGCACCTTGACGTCCTTGTATTCTCAAAATTGGAGATTCACGTTCAACCTGGTAAGGAGATAAATGATTTCTTTTCACACTTTCTAATGTCTGAATTGCACGTAATTCTACACCATGTATTCTCTTGTTGTAGCTGTTCGCAAGCTGGAATACAGTCTGTATAAGTTGTATTTAGTGACAGCAGCGCAAAGTACAGGTGGAGCACGAAATGAGAGGATCACAGACTTCTTATCTAAAATGTTACCTGAACTGCAAGGACAGACCGAGTGGAGAGACTGGTTCAGTAAGTTCTAGTTGGTTTTTAATATGTATATTATATATATTTAGTAATATAAACCGAGTTACAATGAACCAATTGGAGTGTTTGTTTTTTCTTATAAGTAAAAAACTGACCTATTAAATAATTTTGTTTTTATAAAGATTGATAACTATCCTATAACAATTATAGAGTTCGAAAAATCCAAAACAATCTGACTCCAGAGAAACCTAATAAACCACCTATACAACCACCACATTTTACTTTAAATGAGACCCTCCATTATAGAATTCAATATCTTTCCAGTGCTGCCATTTATCCAGAAACCAGAAGAGAACCCATCATTCAGTCTGTACTTCACCAGAGCATGGCAGGACAGTGTTCTAGTGTCACTACACAATCTGCTGGCGACAGTGTTCCAGTGTATGCCACAACCCACTCTGACCAGCTATGAAAGTGATGCCGCCATGGTAAAGAGACTTCAGGACAAATTGGCTGCTGTGTCAGGGAAGGTGATTATTGAAGCCTGCTGTTTGATTAGTACATAAGTAATTTTTTGTGAGGGGAAATTCATCAAATGATTTCATCACACTTGGTGGAATGGGTCAGACAAACTTTTACTGACTAAAACCACCCTGTTCTAGCTTTTTTATACCTTTTGACGGAACCACTACTGTGTTTGGTTAAGCTCACTCGCGTCCCTGGCAGGCGTAGACACCATGATCTTAATAGGCTGTCTGTGATAGTCTGATGGTTCTTTGACGCGCGCGCGGTACGTATATTATTCCACAATACTTTCAATTAATTTCCAAATTCTTTATTTCCAGACTCAACCACAACAAACAGAGAAGACGTCACCAATAGGTCATCAGTCCCGACTGTCCCAGTACTCAGAGCGACTCAGTGGCCCGTTACCCCTAGTTGATGACTTTTGCGCCGTGCCTTCGGAACAACTGGAGAGCGGAGTGCGCGAAGCCAAGGGGCTCCGGGGCTTACTACGACAAATGGGAGGCAGTCCCGTAATGGGCAGGAAAGCCAGTCGATCTCACAGCCAAAACTAACTTGTAAATTTCCTCTACCTATATTATATCTGTAAATACATTCCTGTTATTTTATTGTGTGAGAGTACTATATGTTATTTTATGCTACAAATAAATATAATATTAAGCTGTACTACTTTTATTGTTTTATTTGGAATTATTAAGTTGTGTTATACAATGCATCCATCATATCATCCTATTATGTTGATGTATTTCTTATTTTACTCTACCACTGTATTTAAAAAGGAATGATCGCAATGATATGCTTTGTTCATTGATTCACACCATATTCTTACTATACTCTTTGTCTCTTTGATAATGACATAAAATGCACTAAATAGATAGTGACCTTTACCCAGCCAAATATAAAAAAGTTACACGTGACAACTAACAATCAAGGACGTTACAACCAACTAACAATCCAACAAAATGTCAACCTAAAATTCCTGTACAAACACAAACAAAATCACAACCCCCCCAGTTCAATAAACAATAACAATCTTGATTATATTCCGAACTAAATTCAAAGTCATCACCCAAACATGGCGCACGCATTTTTCGCGGATTCGGCAAAAAGGTCAGAACGCCGTAATAGAAAATGGTACATGGACAACTTGTTGAACGTACTGCAAGCAGCCAAGGAAAACCAGGAGAGAGAGATCGATGCATCTATTGCGCTTGCTGAGGAACTTATGCGGGTGGGTACTAAATGAAAATAAGGCTTTTGAAGAGGTAGCAACAACGACTGCCGAGCAAGAGGTCTCGGGTTTGATTCCCGGGTCGGGCAAAGTATTACTGGCCTTTTTTTAATTGTCAGTAATAGCACGGGGTCTGGAATTGTGCCCGGTATATGCCAATAGGCTCACCCCCTATTACATGAGACTCATAACATAAATAGTCAAAAAGTGGGTGTTATATTTAATTGTATAGTGGCAGTACAATTGTCGTAATGTTCACCTCTGTCTTCCTCTTTGGGGATAAATGGCGTGATGTTATGTTAAGAGGTAGGCTCTACATTCGCACATTTGAAGATGAGACTGTCTAATAATCTGATAAAACTTTTCTCGACTGCATTCTATTGTTAATTATGATTTATTGACACTAAACAATACTTTGGGTGTCGCTGACCATTAGGCACATACCGAATGTACCTAGTTTAAGTCAGGGCCACGTCTTACCTTCATGTTACCTAGTCAATTCCAGAGATTAAATGAGCCTCAACCGCTGCCAAAAGTGGTGCCACTGCGGCGTGTGGTACCCACTGAAATAGACGCCGTGATGTACCCGATAGAAGAGGAAGTCCTCGACATACTACAGAAAAGTACTCATAAAGGGTCTGCCAATAGATATCTAAAGGAGAGATACAAAAAAGCACCGGACGAAAAGTTAGTACATGGTACAAGTTAGTGTATTAGTAATTCATTAAAATAAGGTTTTATGGCCTTTTATTTATTGTAGGTTAAGCAGAAATGCACTTATTAAAATTCAACTTACATTTCACCGCAAACATCGTGTGAGTGAGGCTATCGGATGCCCAATTACTCCCCCCCCCCCCCGTGTTCCGAATCCCCAATTCTTCCACAATCCTCAAAAGGCTGGTAACACATTTGTACACCCCTGGTGTTTCGGATGTCCATGGGCGACGCCGATTGCTTACAATCAGGTGATCCGTCCGCTGGCTTACCACCTTATCCCATAAAAAAATATTAAAATGCAACATTTCACGACAAAGCAACAAGACAAAACATTATTTCATGCGAGAATCAAACTTCAAACACATAACAACCGGTCACCCAGCCATTATGCCAGTGCCAACCGTGCCACTGTCAGATCCACTTTAATAATATGAGTGTATTTTAAATAATAAACCTTCTTGTAGATTTCTGTACCGCGTAGCTACGAGTTGGGATTATGGCTGGCAGCAGAAACAAGCTAGGTTGAAGGCGCGCGACGTGAACTTTGGCCGAAGCTTTATATTGCGGCATACCTTCTACCGCAAGAACAACCTGGCACCCGACCCGCCGCATTATGGCCAGCCCAGTGGCGGCCAGACCTCGATTTGCAGCGAATATTCTTGTAACTTCAATTAGTAACTTGCTAGGATAAGCTAAGATAAAATACACAACGAACAAACTATAATACAACAGTTCATCAATATTTTCAATAAAATTGGTATAAATAATAGACGAAATATAGCAAAAAACATATATTTTATAATTTTATTATTTACAATAATTCAACTTTTATTTACATATTAACAACAGCAAATGTACCCTTTGTCTAAGGCCACATCTAACTGTTCGAAAGGGAATTACTATAAAATAAAAAATGTGTACAGAGTTCTTTCAATTTTGTTTTTACGAAAGATCGTGTGATTAAGAGGTTGGTCGTGTTTAATCTCAATAGAATCATTTCTGGATAAAGAAAACAGTTGTCTCTAGTATATTACAAAAATAATATGAACATGGAAAGATATCAACAGTATTGTGACACTATGTACTATGGTGAAACACTCTATTGAGACCAACTACAACAATCAAATGCTACTATAAAATTAATTAACCAGCATATCAACAACATCCACTCACTCCTAACAAGATACTAAGAAAATAACTAATAAAATAAATGTTAATATAATTAATAATAAATATGAGACATTTTGTTCTTTCTCAAGTTCATATTTTGACACATTATGTACAATTATTTTATATATCAGTCCGTATTATCTGCATAAACTTTTACTTCGAAATTTGTCCACAATTCAACTGTGTATTGTGCAAAATAAGACAATTTATTATGCTCTCTCTCCTTTGGCGTGTTGTCTATGTTCCAGGGTTAATCAAGTTACAGGCATGTTATATACTCCAAGTATGGCCCCTTCACCTCCCGGGGGGAAAGACCAACAATGTAACTATTCATTACTGCATCATCTGCATTTATCAAGGCTTCAACAATATTCATATAAGCAAACATGTACACATTAAGGCCCAACTACTAGAAGTTCTACTTTTTAAGAAGTAGGCATGTATCTGTTGAAATGGCAAACCATTGAAAGGTGAATAGTAATGTCACAGAATAAACTGTTTGTGCTGGACTACACTAATTGCATGTGCTGGATACTGTGTAGCTGGGCCTCCAGGACGGCAAAACAGTATATCATACTGTTTAGCCTCACTTTGTACATGTACTTAAAGTTTCAGTGGCACTAAAGCAGTCTATCACAACAAAAGAAAGTAACAAAAAGTATATTTAGAAGAAAGGTAGATCAGCTGCATGCTGCAAATCCTAACAGTTATTTTCAATAAGGCAGTTACATAATTGTACTTAAGTAGGTGCAGCAATTAATTTACAAATTGTAAACAAAATGCTTACAAGCCATATAAACTTCGACAAGTACTGACACTGCCTTTTGTATATAACCCCATAAAAAAAACATTAAATAGAAATGTCATTTGTTAATTTGATACTGATTACGGTAACTTCCCCTCAGCTCGCTTCACATGTGATGATGATAAATGAATGAGATCAGACATTTATGAGAACCAATATAGACGATAGTAGCAGGACGAGTGCCGCAATACCTGGTGTCGCGACATCGCCGCGGTGTACCCACGGTACACCCAGACACATACTAGTCTGATATGATATTATTGTCACAACTTTATACAAACTCAACAATCACTCAGAGATGATCCAGTGTCATGTAGCCTATCAGAAACCAAGCAGCTTTTACACCAATATTTACAAATGATGTAATGGAGCAGTTGGTTTCACAGTATATCTGCATATTCCATGACATTAGGGGAATGAGGGGATACAATTGAGCAATATTAATTGCCGTATTCTACAACCCTAACCACAGCGTGACTGATGAACCCAAGGGTGAGGATGTACAATGAAGATGATGTTAATTGACCGTACAAATCAAGCTTTACCTATTAATTACTGGCTAGGTTAGTCGGATCCCCTCGGCTCCGCGACGGGAGCAGTCACACCAACACGCGCGCAGTATCCTCGTTATAATCAGATCGTAACGTCCGCACACGTCACAAGGTTCCACACTATCACTATGAACGTCTGTTAAGTCACTGGCGTGGAATATCACTGCCGGGAATAGGTCCTGGAGTCCCCCCTTAGGCCGATGACAGTGATCTTAAGGTTGAGTGTAGTAGTAGAGCGCTCGCGGGCCGGCTCGGGCCCGGCGCAGTCCCACGCGCACTAGGGCTGCGGCGGCGGCAGCGCGGGCGGCGGGCCGCTCGTCCACTGCACCAGCGCGTGCTGCGCCAGCTGCGTCGCCTGGAAGTGGTCCTTCAGCAGCGCCTGGGAGAAGTTGCAGTGCATCTGGTACGCTTCATTCTCCCGCTCCGAGTCGCCCGCCAGTCGGTACAAGTCTGAAGATCAAAATGAGTGTCAGAGTTTACGCGAAATTTGAGGTAACAATATTTATTGTTATTTCTCCTATTAACCCTGCCATGAGCCAAAAATAGTACCTTTCAATATAGCAGATGCCCAGAGCTGCACGTGCACGTCGGGTATCTTGCTGGCCAGCTGCATGGCGGGTGTGACCATGTTCATGCTCTCGCGGGAGTTGTTGATGGACAGGAAGATATGTCCCAGCAGCACCAGGGAGCAAGACGTCAGTCTGTTGAGATCCTCTGCGTTCGCCATCTTCAGCGTCTCACGGAGGTACCTCCTATATAAGACAAACAGCAATGAGTAAAACAATAACGTCGATATCATGGTTATTATAGACATTCTGAGGAATCTAATGTGACTTACTTGGCTTCATTATACCGAGCCTGGAAGAAAGCTTGTAGTCCCAATACGTAGTAAGAGGCAGCTCGCAGCCCGTGCGCGTACGCCGGTAGCGCTTCTGGCCTCACCTAGACATAAATATTACATTAATATTATAAACTATTTTTAAAATCCCATCAAACACACATGACAATTATGCTTACCAGAGAAGTCTTTGAGAAATGGAAACTAAAAGTTAATACAAAATAATAATAATTTCAGTGAATATATGATTAATATTTTTACCTGTTCCATAAGTATGGTCAGTTCACTGTCTCTCCTCCCTCGTAAATATACAATCGCCAAGTTGAGCTTCGCGAACATCCATAAATCTCTTTCTTGTGACATCTGTAAACAATAACAAATACTTTTCTGAAAACCGCATCCACTTGGGTTGAGCAAATCGCGAGGTTATCGCGCTTAAATATACATACAGGTTAAACTAAGAACCTCTTTTTTAAGTTAGTTAAAGAAAATGTATGAATAGAAAGCGTCGAGGTTGTTGAAGTAATGAATAGTCACTGGCTATTAATAACTTTAGAATTTATGTAACCTTATTCACTTGTTTCCCGTCAAGTAAGTAAAATAAACATTTGTCTCGTATTACATGATATTTTGTCAAATATTATGTAATATGCAGTACTCACATTGATGGCAGTGTGGAACTGTGCCTCGGCGGCGTCCATACAGTTCATGGACATGGCGTACAGCCCCAGCAGGCAGTGCAGCTGCGGCGTGTGCAGCTCCGCCGTCGCCGCTGCAAGGACATTGTTATAACACCGTCATATTTTAAGAACACACTACATTTTGTAATTTAAGAAAAAAAAATTGGTTGCCTGTAAAGTCGGTATACGGGCGAAAGTTTTACGTGACAACGACTTTGAGTGGTAAATTAATTTTAATGTGAATATTCATTCGTATAGTAGGAAGAAGGATGAAATAATAGTAATAGTAATAATAGTCTGTCTCTCGCTCTTAGGCGGGCTAACCATGCCCGAGTGGAAGGGACGCGTGCCTCTCACTCGCTCTCATTGTGAACGCATAACGTGAGCGGAACGTAACGCAGTTTCTTGAAGTGTCACCCGGCAAACCAATTTATAAGACGTTGTCACGTCAAAAACCGCCGGCAACATATTTCCGTAGACCAGCGTATCGTGGCGCGCCTGAATCCTATCGATTTCATACATTTTCTATGCCAGCCACACTTATACAGTGTAGCGTATCGTATGGGTCGCCAACCAGCTGATTCGTAGCCACATCCCAGCACAACATACCAGTGTGTTGACACACTCTGACTTAACATTACTTTCTAGTTTTTAGACTAATGAAGCTTCAATTGATAAAGAAGATTCTTACTTAGTACGCACTCTTTTTTTTTTTGAAGGGGAAAATCATCTTCTCCCGCCTTAGGTTAGGCGAGAGGGAATATATGAATCAGACTCTTACTGACTAAAAACCACCCAGTTCCTACTCCTGCTCTGCCGGAGCCCGGCAACCTGTTAGGCCTTCCGCGGCTCCATCTGTGGTGGTCTGGTTGTAGTTGGGCGACGAGCTACACTTGCTCGCCGTCCGCAGGCCCGCACTTACGATGGCCCTAATCGTCGCGCGATCTCCGGCGCTCGGAGTGTCTCCCGCGACGGCTGGGGCGTGAGGTGATTCGTTCCCTCACGCGACACGCCTTCTCTTTGACTAGTATGACTGCTTCACTTAGTACGGACTTAGTGATGTATTTATTGATTTTTTCCTATGTTGTGCCTGTGCCTTGTCGCTGTCGACAATGTAGTCTCGTAGAGTGTAGTACTAACGTTCAGGTGCCTGCGTGAGTAGATGCGCGGCGCGCGCTATCTCGTGCAGCGCATGCGCCTTGCCCCCGGCGACGAGGCGACAGAGCGCGGCGTGCTCCACGAGCGCCATGCGCAGGCGCCACGCCAAGATGGCCCCCTTCCGGCTCCGCACTCGCTCTCTCTCCTCACGCTCGCACTTCTCGTTACCCAAAGCATCCTTTTCGCATGTTTTTGCTGTAAATATAATTAGTGTTAAGAAAAATGCAATTATTGTCCCAATGAGGCAATAAAGAACTGCACATAATGTGAAATGTGAAAACATCAACTTGAAAGAACGTGTCTATGCCATCAAATTGTTGTCGTAAGTAAAAAGCCCAAAAAATGCCTTTGGAATAAAAACAACTTAATTAACAAGAAATAACAATCAATAACATCAAGAATAGCGACTTACAGGTAAGCTTATCGATCTGCGCCAGCGCTTTCTCGGTGTATTTGTGTGCTTTTTCCATATAGCCAGCCTGCGCGGAGTGCATGACGGTGACGAGGTACACCAGCACGTACAGTTGTTGCCGCGACATCCACACGAACGACTCGCCTTGCACGCTGCCGCATACAGCTAGAGGAAACATTAACATGACCATGGTGTGAGAAAAACAATGTGAAGCCCAACTCTTCTCTAGGTGACAATAAAGGAATAACTTCTACTGGTCTTTTCGATTCGATAATTAGTATGTTATTGTCGTTACGGTTCGTATTATCTGTTACTGATCGAAATCATGAATTAAGTAATCACAATTTCATTTTGGTAAAGTCTTCCTTGTTAATGCAAAAAAAATCTTAAACTTTGTTAAGTTAATGAAGATTAAAAATGGTCTAACATCAACAAATTAACAGAAAACATAAATAAAATTAAGTAAACGATATTTACTGTCGTCGTCGGGCCATTGCGGCGCCATGATAGCTTGTATGCTCTGCTGCAGCTGCTTCAAACATGGCTTCACGCTCTTCACCTGCCCGGCCATTAAATAGTGACACACCTGCCGACAAACACATTGTTAAAGGTCATAGGCATGAAAGTTGGTCAAATTGCTAGTGGTCGCAAGCGCGATTAGTGATCTTGAGTTCGATAAACATTCCTCATAGCAACCGAAATATGGGTCATAGGGCCACACCGCTAATTCCGATCTCAATTATTATTCGTACTCCGATAAAGGTCGGGTCGAGCAAGACATTTGTCATATACCACGGAAACTTAAATCGTGCACGGTATATGACAATAGATTTATGTCGGAAAATACTGAAACGCTACTCAATTTTAAGTCGTGCTTAAGTATAGTTCTATCTCTACAAATTCTTTGTAAAATGACAGAGATAGCACGATATTCGAGCACGACTTACAATTAAGTAACGTTTCAGTATTCCGGCTTCACTCTCCAATTCATGAAACTCATCTCATAAAATAATTCGTGGAAATTAATGTCACATTTTAAAAGAATAACATTTAAAATGTGCACCTTTGCCTACTCCTTGGCTTAAAAAACGTTAACGCGCGGTATGTAGCTATGAAGAAATCGAACTCATAGTTCGCTTGAAAAATTGACGTGTTGCCTATTTGCAGAAGTAAATTCACTTATTTCACTTGTTAAAACCAAAAGGAGTTATGTTTTTGACGTTTAAAAGGCTTAGTACTACATAGTTTATTTTATTTACATTTAACGAAATCAAAACGTTCCCGCGTTCGACGCTCTGATTGGCCTGTTCCAATGAACCATCCAATCAGAGGCCTAAATCTAATATTTAGGTTTTTACATAGCGATCTTTTCCAACGCCAGATAAATTTTAACTGAGGAATAACTTTGAATATTTGACAATTCTTTCATACTAAAAACTGTGAAATGGCAATTTTATTATACAGTTAACAATTAACAGATGAAAAATCAGCCCTTATTGTATTACTGGTTAGAATTAAATACATATATTTTTGTGTTGGATAGTCCATTTATCGAGAACTAGCTGTGCCCGCGACTTCGTTCGCGTGGAATCGTGATTTACTGCGCGTACCCCGTAGGTGATAGTGTGATAAGATAATATATAGCCTATATGTTGACCTACCCTGTTAGTAATAATCAAACAAAATTTAAAGTAAATCCATGCAGCACTTTTTGAGATCATCCCGGACATACAGACAAATAGACAAAAATTCTAAAAAACATATTTTTGGCTTCTGTATCGACTATAGATCACGCCCCAAGTATTCTTTTAAAAAAATATTTAATGTACAGTTTTGACTTTTCTACGATTTTATTATATGTATAGAAGACTGATGCCAGAATACTGAAACGTTACTCAATTTTAAGTCGTGCTTAAATATCGTGCCATCTCTGTCATTTTACAAAGAATTTGTGGAGACAAAACTATACTTAAGCACGACTTACAATTGAGTAGCGTTTGAGTATTACGACATTAGCTATATAAAACAACACGCTACTTATCAATAGGAGTCGAGCAGCGGGTGACACCGCGCTGGAGTACGTAGCTATGTAGTTTATGTTAAACATCTTTAAAGATGGAATTGACGGTCGCCTCACATAGCTAACCTTGCCATGTTTTAATAAGTCCATTGTATTGTAGCCATGGTGATGTAATGAAGGTTTTATTAATTGCTGACAACTAAGTGCTGAAGTACATACTAAAAAAACAAGCCTTTATTCCTACAGACTATTTGTCTTTTAAAGTTTACAAAGGTCTAACAACTTTGTATTTTGTTCTGTTTGGAGTTGAATAGGGGTGAACATTATGGTATTTTTATAATAACTATCGTGAGACGTGAACGCGTCAGTTTTCGCGGCGACGAACGCTGCTCATGAGGAAGAACCCCTCTGTGGTTCGAAACTAGTAGAGCTTTTCTTAGTATATTCACGTGAGTAACCCGTGATTTTAGTTCATTATGATATTTGATATTATTTCTTTTTTTTTTAATGTTTCCACACACTAGGATTATAATATACAAGTATGGAGTTGGTTTAGGTGCTCTATCACGATAAGAGTACTTTGTAGTGTGTGTGACACCTCGCCCTATAAGTAAGTAGCATAAGATAGATATTAAGACACTTAATTAAAGATATTACTAACAGTAACACGTCTCCCTCATTGCTCCACATTGCAACTTAAGTGATCTTAGTTAAGATATGGTTTAGGTGGTTGATGAAAACGGTCAAATGTTACAGTTTTTTTTTAAACGTTGCCCCACACTAGTATTTTCTCCGTGTCTGTCGTGGGTGCGTTTACAAACATACAAGTTTACATACCCACGACATCTAGACCCGAAATAACGAATTTGGGGATCACACAAAGAGTTGCTTCGTGTGGGAATCGAACCCGCGACACGTTGCGCGGCAGCCGGTTATTCAGCCGCATCAACCGTGCCATCAAATTATCAACAAACTGAATGCCACAGCTTTTATTCAAATGCTATTCCTATCTATCTTAATGATTTTTATTTTCTTTTTAATAAGAATAAAGATTCTTTTAATTAAAGAATTATAAACGACAAAAAGAAAATATTGGATGGTTTTTGCTGTTCTCAGAGTTTGAAGGTTATTATTATTTCTGCATAACACATTGGGGGCTCAAAAATATCTAACCCAATCAACCAATCAAATCAAACATTTACATAATAAGTCTCAAAGAATATAATAACTTACCTGTAGAACGAGAAAGAATACTTTGAGGTACTCTTTCTGGTGGTGACTGCCACTCCATGCGTCTACTAGGTGACCAGCCTGGTTCAGGAGTGGTAATACCTCTGTGATCCTCTTGTCTATTAACAACAGCTGTAATAAAACAATTTCATTAATCTCTGTGTCATATCTATTGTAAGACAAACAATATGGCGTACCTGCGTGAGCTATTCGAGAAATACTCTACTAGTTTCAAGTCAAACCAAGGACCCTTATTCATGAGGAGCGTACGCGGCGCGGTAACGTCGCCCAGCCAAGTAGAGCTTTTCTCGAATAATTCACGTGAGTAAGACGTCTTTCTCAAATCATTAAACATAGTTTCCGCTAAATATTTCACCAATTTGCTATACATTTCTTTTTATAAATGTTCAACTTGTCTATTAATAGAGCTAATTAGAACTGAAATATTTTTTTTAATGGGACATTTTTGCCACAGCAAAACCACTTGAACTCCTGTAAGCCAGGATCTAAAGTAGACAAGAGCATGAGAACTGGTAAGCACTGGTGTGACTCAGGGACACGAATAACTGTTCTGGATCCCGCAATAAAATAAATCAGAAGATATTACGAAGAAAAAAATGTATGAATAAACTTACCATAACCCTACTGAGTAAGAAAAGGACGCGTGTGTAGGCCACATTTGATATCTGTGCATAGTCCACTCCAACTCCTAACAAACTGCTCGCCACTTCATACTCTTTCTCAGTGGCATGAATTTGCTAAAAATAAATAAATAAATTAGTCATCACATCACTATAAGTTCACCTATAGTACTTCAAGTGGATGAAGCATAACTACTAAATAAATACATAAATATTATTGTGGTGGCCCAGAGGCTACCAATGACCAGTATCAATATGACCTTTTTCGAAGTTGCATGTACTTTCTAAGATTGTTTAGACGCCACTGACAAATGGTGAAGGAAAACATCGTAAGGAAACCTGGCCTTAAAATTTACCCCCATTTAACATGTGTAGCATGCAATTAATGCTCAAAATTTCTGTGTGAGAAGAGGTCTTTTAGAGTTGTGTAACAACTGCATACCAAATGTGCAGCCTAATGGTAGTCATGACCAAACAGTTGCAAACCGAACAAGCAGTCCGATTGCAGTTCTATTACAGTTGTGTCAACTGCATTCTAACTGGAATTTGCAGTTGGATTACAGTTGGAATGTGGTTCACCTGTTTAGAACCTCACAGGCTATTGATCATAATCCATCAATCATCCCATCATCATTCCTTTGGGTCTGGAATTAGTATACATTTTCTTGGAATACTAAAGTCAAGATTGATATGAAATGTTTGTAAACAAATTACATGAGTTGTGTCTCATTAATATTGTTTCATACATCACTCTCTATGCCTCCTTCTCAATTTCATAAGTTCTGATTTATAGTATGATAAAAGCACTGAAAAGTATCATTTGCATTCATAACTACATAGCATCACGCCTTTATCACCGAAGGGGTAGGAAGAGGTGCACATTATGGCAGAGGTGCACATTACGGCACTTATTGCCACTGTACAATGTAACACCCATTCTTCACAATATTATATTATGAGTCTCATGTAATAGGCGGTGGCAGGTTAAAAGAATCTCATAAAAATTAGCAAGTACATGTACACTAAATTCAACTTGCTATAATATAAGCTTTAATTAATTATGTAAATTATAACTTTTTCAGAACACACTCATGTATCACTATTTTATTGCTGCTACCAACACTACACAAAAATTTAAAATTTTATTCAATCTTTTCTTTCACTGCCATAATTAGGATGAAACAATCAAAATTTTAATTAGGTATTTCAGTATGTTACAAATCTTAAGGTATTATTTATTTACGATTTTCAAAGTTTTACATAATTATATTCAAATGGTCTTGAAGTACCGACAATATCTAATTCTATATTATTTCTTATTTTCTTTTATTAAGTACCCATTATTTAATGTTACAATTTTTTTTTTTACAAAACAAGTAAACTATATGTAAATTATATAATTACCCAATTTCAATGACTATAGACCTCAAAACATTTAGTAGTTTGTAGTTTAAAATTCCAATAATAAAAATAATGATATAGACAGAATAACTAATAAAAAAAACTAAATTCAAAATTATAAACAAATGATAAGTCCTATACACAATATCTGATTATAAAACATATACTTTGATAAAACAAATACTTATAATTTGAAGATAATTATTGCCATCTCATTATGATAATAACTTAAAATAAACTTGACTCAAAACAATAACATAACATTCAAACATATGATTGTTTGGAAATTAACATTTGTAAGAATTTAGAATCAAATTAATGTTATATCAATATGAAGTATCTAATATAAACACTAATGATATATTTTAAATGGTATATTCTGTATTTGAAACCTAGGATTAGGTTCACAAACAACATTATTGTTTATCTAACCATTTATAAGTACTATCGATAATATAATAAACATTCCTTAAAGAGCAAAAGGTTATGTAAATGACAGAGTAACAAACATTTAGTACTTACTGCTAGTTGGAATATTAGCCTGCAGTGCCAGTACACACTGTGCTGTGACAACTCAATGGCCTTCCGTAGAATAGGCTTTGAATGTGATGGCTGGCCCTGAGCCTCAAACAGATCTGCCAGCACACTTGCTGCCTCAAACTTAACATCGTCGAACCCATTGATAGTCTGTGACATACACCACTGAAACCACAACACAGTAAATTCACCATATGACCCACTTCAACTTTGTTTACATACTTTGGGAAAGTAGTATCTCATACACCCATAAACACTAATTAGTTATGGGCTTACAACTCGAATATATCAACAACCGTTCTTCCGAAACACATTGCACTGTTTAAATATAAGAATAACAACAAAAAAACTTACACTTTGCTCTAAATGCGTTCTCGCCAAGTCGATGTTTTTGGTGTGTGTCAAAAGAATATTTCCAAGTTGTAAATGTGTCCTGGCTTCGACCCTTTGTGGTGGTTTGAAATTAAATACGGCTTGTAGGCACTGGATGCAACTTTTTATGTCAGGAGGATTCGATGTACGGAAATGTTCTGCTAAACCAAGTAAAGAAATATACCAAGCGTCCTGCGTTGACGCCATTTTGACATTTCTGCTTGGAGGGAACGATGTTGCTAGACCTCGGTTTGAAGGGGCCTTCTTTGTTCAGTGATACCAGATTTAAGAAATTCATAGACATAATGTATATACTAAAAGAAAAAAATCATAAAATGTTAAGTAACAAGGTTGTGTGTTGAGTTGATTAATTATTTTTCCTAAAATATTTTGTGGGTTGGATATTTATAATAGTAAATCGGTAAATTTTTCGTCCTTAGTTTCATTTTTATTAAGCTGAGTTGCTATTGCCTGTAATCAATGTTTTGACATTATTCAAATAAAGATACAGTATTATTTTGTAAAAATAATTAATTTTCGAATCGTCCTAAAATCAATTTTAAGGTTTCTTTTATAAATGTCTTTACGCCATCTGTTATTCGACATCAGAACTATTCTATCAATGACATATTCAAATTTCAAAAAGTAGGTATAACAAAACAAGATTTAGGGGAACATATAATAATATTATTGTCATATATGCAATAGAGTATGAAATAAATAAATAAACATTAGTATGTTTAATTTTAGTAGGTTATTTCTCGACAGCAAAGGTCACAGTCGTTAAGTTAGTTCTTAGTATTTTATTTTGATTTTCAATTGATCTTAGCTATTTCAATAAAATGCGTTGACTAAATCGACAATTAAAATTAATTGTTCAACCCAAGCAGGAATACATAGCCGCGGAGGACTAACGGGTTGCCAAGGCTTTGGCTCAAAGAGCAACAATAGGAACGGGGTGGCTTTTAGTCAACTAGTCTGACACTGCTAGTGTAGTATGATATTTAAGTTTCTGATTATCGAAACAATCTCAGTCTTCAGTAAAAGTACGGAATTTGAAGTTGCCTCATTTTTTTATGGAGACGTTACAAGTGTGTGTTTGGGATTAGGAATTTGATGATTGTTAGGGACTCAGGGATTGGGAAAGCGGGGAGAGGTAATTGGGCCTCCGGTAACCTCACTCACGTGACGAAACACATCGCAAGCGTTGTCTCGCGTCGGTCTTTTGTAAGGCCGTGGTATCACTCCGGTCGAGCCGAAGCATGGCTCTCCCACATTTCAAGTGTAATGTGCCTCATGTGGGGCATAAGGTTTTTAAATAATACTCTTGTTCATAACTGAGGAAGTCAGAGTTAGGGAGGTTTAACTTAACCAAGGGTCACTCAGATATCCAAAAATTTTAATTACATACCGGCACGCGGGTGTTAAATGGGAAGATTTTTTGAGCAGTACTTCCAGTTGTAGTGTATAATCTATGTGCAGTACCTACGTTATAGGTCTGTCTCTCTGACTGCTGTGCATGGACGTATTATAACTAATAATTACATGCTCTGTGATAACTAACAAGACAGGACTAAGCGCTAGGCCCAAAAAAACGAGCAGAGTGAGATGCATAGAACGGAGGTAGTGCATTCTCTTCTAATAGGGTGACCATGTATTTTATTTTATATAGGAAAATTCGAGACTTGTCACCGAGTTCGGCTTGATCTTGAACGCTTTTTTTAGTGGGTTAAAACAATCAAATTACTTCTCCCGCTCTTGGGTGGAGCGAGAGGGCGTGTCAGACTCTTACTGACTAAACAATCCCACCCGTTACTTACTCGGCTTTAGTACTGGGGTCAAGCATGACCTTTCGGATTTGGCGGCCACCAGTAGGCTTAATACGTTAGTTATAATACGTCCATGCTGCTGTGCCTTTAGGCCAAACGCCACTTTAGCGTTTGTACCGAGATAGTGGAAAACTAAATGTATGGGAATGACACTGACGTTAGTGTCAAAATTTACGTCAAATCCATATAATTTGGTTTTTAACCGACTTCAAAAAAGGAGGAGGTTATTGTAAGTAGATAAGCGCTAAACATGGACGTATTAGTTATTATCATTACGTCCATGGCGCTAAATGGCATTTGGCTACAGCTGCTGGCATATGCCGATATCACGTTAGAGATTCGATAGCAACTTATGCAGTTGTAAAAGTAGCAAACGTAGTTAACGAATGCTATGTTATTTATTTGCTGACTACGACGATACAGTTTGATACTAGATTAGCGCAGTCGATGTAAGTCTCAATGTTAGCAAATCCACCCTTATTACCATACACACAACATTCAGAGATTTAAACGAGACAGAATAATCTGCAGTCAGTCTCGGTAGTGACTAGGGATGTTATGTGTATTACTTTAAGGCAAAGGACTATTAGGACATTAAAGTCACCAAAAAAATGCAAGTTTGGCGGTGAAGCCACCTATTTATATTAGTAGCAAGTTGAAGATTTATTCTTCACTGACCAGAAGTGATTCGAGTTTATACACATGAACTAAATTACTACAGTGGTGAAAGTAGGAAATAAAAGACAATTTAGTTAAACTTAGATGTTAGGTTTATTCATCAATGGTGAGTGCACCAGAGTTGATGTCATTGATGAGGTCATGTGGAGGCCTGCCCTCGACTGTGCAGCCGACAGACTGTGCGGTACCAAGGATCTCCTTGACTGTGCCAGACAGGTAACGGGCCATTGACCTGGCTCTCATGGTCTTGGCGATGCTGATAACATCCTCAAGAGTGATGTTGCCATTGTGCTTGACTGGAAAGAGAAAATAATAACATATTAGTTATTGATAATAACTTACTGACATATTGTTATCTCTTTAGGAACCTAGCTGTATTACAGTTTTCACTCTTCTTAGAGAATTAATAATTAGATCACTAATAAGTACAGTAACCTGAAATAGTATAATGAGAAAAATCTACTAATATATATAACTTGCTGTTTCATATAAAATTAAATATTGACATAAAAACTTAAACTACAATCACTAGTTGGGAAACATTGTGCAACTGCTTGTAACATTACAAAAGGCAGAAGTTGCATATTACTGCAAGTTTGTCACAAAGTATGGAGTTTCTTGCTTGAACTTCTCCATAGAAATCTACACTTTGAAATGACCAAATAGTTTCACTATTAATTTTTTGTTATGTTGAAACTCAAAGTGCCTTTCTGGTCTAATTGAAATAAATGATTTTGACTTTGCTCATGGTTCTGTTCTTTGTCTAGATATATTTGGTTAAATTCAGCTGTTTTTATACAATTTGTTAGCAGAAAAGACTTGGAACGTACTGTTCTTTTGCTTCTTGCGGTCACGTGGTGGCTCTTTCAGTGCTCTGATGATGAGGGCTGCGGCAGAGGGCACTACAGAGATCTGGGCCTGTCTGTTCTGTACAATCAGCTGCACGGTGATCTTAAGACCCTTCCAGTCACTGGTCGCCTTGGCAATGTCGTCACCAACCTTCTTGGGGGACTGTGTGTGGAAATAAATATTAGTAAGACATTTATGTAAAGTTGAACAAAGATTTAAAGTCGACAAGGTGAATCTGTGGTCTGTTATAACAAAATAAATGTACCTTTAAACCAGATCCTTTTAAAGTAAATTGTTCATTATCCTCTGTGTATTATACAGCTATGGAAATGTGAATTAGTATGTAAAGAATCAATGTATGTGCAACTTACTCAGCTCCATGTGTAAATGGTACCTAGAAAGCATGGCAGTCACATTGCCTGGTCCGCGACTCCTTATTGGACATTCGGAGTAGCCGCGACAGGGAAATTATCCTGAGTCGCGGGTTCCTTCCATCCGCCACCCGGAAGGACGCGCCTGGTAGGGAGGCACCCCCCAGGATGATCAACTTGTATGCGAGACCACTCAATTCATACTTTCATCTCTCCACATCGAGAAAATTTAAGGATGCAAATCAATCGTATTGGCCTCATATTATATTACACATGACCAAGTTTAATGTGGTTTAAATATTGAATTCAGTTGTCTCTATTCCGTACCACTGATTAAGTGATACGATCGTATGGAATTGGTATTCGGACTGCCATGCGAAACTTCTAGGTTATAATAGGATGGTAAATAGATTAATTATATGCTCACCAGACCAAGAGGACCGATTTTAGGAGCCAAAGATGAAGTGGCACCAACTTCTCCACCGACGCATCGCAAGTTTACTGCAAAAATACACACACAAGTTGTAGAACACCATCACTCAGAAACCGGCATGTTTTTCACTGATATGAACTCTTACCGATTTTAATTTCATTAGGATCGAACTTAGGCGGCATTGTGCTATATTTTTAAAATACAAATTAACGTATTTCAAACTATTCCAAGGTGATTAACTTGGATTAAAAAGGCGAACTGCAATCAAACGTTTAGCAACGTTGACAGCTCACCGAAAAAGAAATGTTCTGTATCAATTTGACATTACCTGTCTTAGACATTAGACATATAATTTTTTTTTTATTCCGTACCGGATAGGAACCTTGTCTTTTAATACCTGGTACTCAGTTGTTATGGTTTTTTCAACGTTTTTGGGTTCTTATAATTTTTCTGATTCTTATTTAAGTAATATGTGCTTGTGTGAATAAAAACATTTAATCATAATAATTTATTCATTAATTTCGTTACAGTCTATTTAGTCGATTTAATAAATTCATTAGGACTTTGTTTGATTAAATTGTTTGATTGATGACATCACTTGGACTGTCTACTGTCTATGATCAATGATGTGATTCTGTGATTCTATGATTGAAGATTTTCTTAGTAATTTTCTTCAATTAATTGGTGAATTTTGTTTAATATTTTATAAAATATCTAACAAATCATGGCTAACGATGATGTAGTGCTGAAGCAATATCTATCTAAATACAAACACCGTGACTACACGGCTCGGGAAGTTGTTAATTTAATTCAAGCGTACAGAAGTTTGACCTATCGTCTAGAAGCCTTTGTGTTCAATAACGGCGCCCGAAAAGACTTATTAAACCTTGAAGGTACCATCCCCGTGAACTATAAAGGAGCCTACTACAATATACCCGTTTGTATCTGGCTAATGGACACTCATCCGCAAAATGCGCCGCTGTGTTTCGTCAAACCCACGTCAGACATGTCTATCAAAGTCTCAAAATATGTAGACAGCAATGGAAAAGTGTATCTGCCGTATCTACACGAGTGGACACAGAACGGCTCTACTCTACAGAAGCTTATTCAATGTATGATCTCTGCTTTTGGAGAACTGCCACCAGTTTACTCGAAGCCCCGCAACGAAACTAGAGCTCCTTACCCTGTTAATTCTTTTATGCCACAGCCTACCGGCTACCCATTCCCACAAGGAGCTCCTCAACCAGGGTATCCCACACCAGCACCTTATCCAACAACATCAAATTTACCTTATCCAGGTTATGGCGCGCCATATCCTGGTTCTGTCAGTAGCAATGGTTTGCCATATCCACCTTCTTCATCAGCTACACCTTATCCTCCTGCATCGGGCTACCCAGGCCCCACTGTAACAGCAGATGTGGCGGGTGGTACCATCACAGAAGAACACATTAAAGCCTCACTGCTGTCTGCAGTAGAAGATAAACTACGAAGGAGGCTGAAGGAACAGTCTCTACAGTCTCAAGCAGAATTAGAAACTCTTAGAAGGACACAGCAGGAGCTTCGTGAGGGTAAAGCCCGTCTTGAAGAGATACTTTCGAGGCTGCAAAGGGAGAGGGCTGAATTAGACAAAAATGTGACAATCTTGCAGGAGAAGGAGAAAGAATTGCACACTGCTATTGAACGCTTGGAAGAACAAGAAGGCATTGATGTGGATGAAGCTGTTGTGACCACTGCTCCTCTGTACTCACAACTCCTAAATGCTTTTGCTGAAGAAGCTACTTTGGAAGATGCAATCTATTATATGGGAGAGGCACTGCGGAAGGAAGTAATTGATCTGGACACATTCTTGAAGCAGGTCCGTACTCTAGCTCGTCGGCAGTTCACTCTGCGTGCTCTGATGCACAAGTGTCGGCAGAAGGCTCAGTTGGCGTGCTAATAGTGGCGTCGTTTCTGGCAATGTTCCCTTAAGACTTTGCCAGAAATGAAATACTCTGTGATTTGTTTGTAAATGGTTATGAGTCATACTCGGATGATGTTGCATCATTTTGTGGTGGACTGACAGTGTCGGTTGAGGCTAATGCCTGCAAAACTGTTAACTTGTTAAAACTTCCTGTGTCTATATAATATCATAATACATATTGGCTTTGAACCCTGTATATGACATGTAGAACATGCTATGTTACTTGTAACTTTTTATATAGAGGCCCCACTCAAGAACTGTATCACCATGCAATAAGGGTGAATATAATTATTATTGTTTACAGTATATAGTTTTTAGCCTTAAAATTGCATAATTTCTATGACAAAAGTATGTTGAAGAATAAAATGTAAATATAATATCAAACAATTATTGTCTTTGAAATCTGTTTTATTAGAATATGTTATGTAGAATTTAGGCCATATAAAATTAAAATTATAGCGCTATTAAAATTAAAGCTAAATCCTCATGGGTTGAGAAGTTTTAAGTTCAGTACTATACTTGAGAAATTGGATTTGATCTCTAAGTTAAAAAAACATCTTGGGCTTCATATTGGTTTGAAAATATTTATAATAGGTTGCTTGGTAATACTATGAGATTAGTTACATAAATGAAAAATTGGATAATAAGTGCATACAACAAACATAATGTTGCAAACAAACAAACAATGTTATGTTACCAACAAATAAAACCACTATGTAGCATCACATTACATTTTTATTGAATTGCTTTATCTTCTAAGAGTCAGTGACTCATTTATAACTAGGATACTTATATATGATAACAAAACTCATATTCATTGAATTGCATTGTATCAAGTTAGTCTATTTTGCACTATGTGTCTAGAAAATATGCATTTATTATGTAATCCTAAAGTAGGTGACTCATTATAAACAGTGTGGGTCATTATGTTATCAATATCGTAATTAGTATATTAAAATATTGTAATATAATTATTCAAAGCTTTCGACCCCCTATTATCTTAATCATCACTAATTAACTCGTCGAGTACCGGTTTTATAGACACAATTAAAGAACAATAGGTCGCGGTCACCGGTGACCGCTTGGTGTTTGACAGATTAAGCTTGTCTTTGAAAATCATTAAGTTTGGATGGAGATATTTGAGAATTGTGTGATGATTTGTTTCTAGGACTTGTAAACTGGCAAAGACTAAGTGTTAGATGTATTTGATATGCACTTGTCTGTCTGTACTTTGAAGAATATACTTGATAATGCTCTAATAAGCTATATAAAAAAAAAATACCCCAAAAGGGATTTCAAACACATCCCCACAAGGACTTCAAGAGGAGCATAATAATTCTTGTAGCATTCACTTCTTACCAGCTTTGTTATAAGCCCCGTGTGTAAGGGGTCTTTAAATATTTGTAACAAGGAAAGAAAACAAATTATAAATATTTGTAAAATAGCTTGTAAGATAGAATGTGTAATCTTTTCTGTGAAAGTTGGCAGTCTAGTTAAACTCAACTCTAATCACGTTTCAACATAAGAAATAGCTTAGATGTAACCATGGACAAATAGTTGATTTATCCATTGATGTAACGAAATATTTCTTAGTTATAGTCGTACGAAATTTTATTATTTTCATTATAGAGAATTTATTAAGTTTGTCTGAACTTTTTATTTGGATACATATTTTTTTATGAAATGTCAACAAGGATCTCCAGGGATTCTATCATAGTGGCAGTGCACATCAAAGTAAATGCATATTACGTACCGTCACCAAACTTATTATGTTTGTAATAAGGTAAAAACTATGTAGGTAACATTATTTCAGATTGGTCTTCCTGAGGGCTTAGTACAAGTTAGTTTTACGTTAAAAGTAATCGAAACGAGAACCTGTTCGCCGCTTTGATTGGTTGGTTCATTGACACCAGCCACTCACAACGCCGAACGCGTACTCGTTTCGAATACGTAAAACTTAAATCAAACTCGTACTATGGCTTCGGATTACACCCCAATAAACGAGTTTCAAAGATTCAAATACTACTAAGGTTTAAATATACTATCATGAGGAAAAAGTACTAAAATAAATTGTTATTTTTATTACAGACAAACAGGTGTACATTAAAATGAAAGGATTTCACTCACAATTTTATCAAAAAGTTGGTACCTAACTACCTAATTTGTCCAGCAGGTCATTTAGATAAAGTCTTACGATAAGAAATAATAGAGAAAACAAAAATACATTATAAAGATAAGAGAACGAAAAGATTAACTTTTTTTTCTTCTTTGGGCACCGAGTCTCCAAAACGGTATTGTCGACAAAGTTTATCATATAGGTTTCGATATTACTGAATCATAAGTTCATACTCACGATGTGCACTGCACCCAAGATACAGGGTTGCGTTTTTAATTGGTAGACAATAAAACATCATTTAGCTAGTGCTATGGGCGTTGTGATCTGGTTGTAATTCAAAGTGCCATGACGAGGCAAGGGATGAAAAATAATTTAATTAATATTTACCGTTTTGTAAATTAATATTGGTACCTATAAGTATAGGTATTTCGTTTATGAGTAAACTGCTATTTACGTATCTTCTTTGATAATAAATAAAGAGTAGTGCTGTAATGTTTATAAAGATAGAAGGGTATAGTTAATTATAATGATAAAGCTTATAAATTACATAAATAAAAATACAGCCAGACTCTTGTACTGTTTTTCGTAGTAAAAGAGCCTATATACCTAGGTTCAATTTTATTTATTTCTAGTGTGTACCAACTGCCTGTCGCGTAGCAATGTCATGGCCACGATAATTACGGTGTCGCGACATGATGTCATCTATCGATCAAGCTAGCCATTCATAAGTCGTTAGTACCTAAGTAGTTCTAAGTAGGTACTATCTATTCTATTAAAATTGCATGCGACCTCCTATACTACTCACATAATCAATCATAGTCTAGGAGCTATAGTTAATCGTTACTTTGTTATCTATATTTGCATGGATCTAGTAATTAATTGTAGTTACGCAGTTGTTTCCTATAGTTCAGCCCTTGTTTCTCGTTCATTACATCGAGTTATTATATGTCTACGATTTTTGCACCACCAAGACTGTGTAAATAAGATCTTTTATTAAAATATATAAGTACCTATCTCAATATTCTCAATATATACACATTGAAAATTCTTGTACCTATGATAAAAGTTGCGATAACGGAGTGTTTGTTCTAGTTTTATTATAGCTTATATTCTTGTTTATCGTTGTCTGTATTCATTATGTATTTGGAAATAAATAAGTCACGTTGTAGAATTGTAAATGCAATCTTTTTAATAGTTTTTGTTTTAGGCATTAGGATTGCTTTCTCTATGTGTACAGATTATGTATAGATTTTTTTATAGCTTCATAATTTACGGGATTTTTGCCTGACGATTCTTTAGTAACATTGCACTTGTTAGTTGTGGAGATAGCTTTTTTAACCTCATGTAGTGTGTTGTCATGTTAAAGTCCCGTTTGGGTGCCTCATTTGTGTATTGGTACATGAACGTTTCTGCCTGGGTACATATTTAAGCATTTACTATTAACAGCAGGTACTGTAATGAACTAGCATGTAACCAACAGCAACTTTTAACTTATAAAATGTCGATATTATTTTCTGTGAGTACATTTTTACAGTTAATTTTGTACCAGTACACAAGTGTACCTGCATCCACATTCTGAAGGATTATTGTTTATCATTTAATATCTTGACGAATGTAAATAAGTTAGGTTTGCATTGCATATAATCGGCGCTGACTGATATTTGTCACAATAAATATTAAAATAGCAAAATAGTGTTTTATTCTGTAACTAGTTCGTATACAATTACATGAGCTAGGTACTAAAGTAATATTATTATATGCCATGGTAATTAGTTTCTAGATAAATGTATAGACCCAGAGTTTTAACCTAACGCAGCATGGTCTATCCTCAACTTTTCAACTTTATCTCAAAAGCGTAGAGTTCAAAATCTGCCATAGAAGTACCATATTACAACTTTGCCTGCGATACGAGGTCTCTTTCAGGATAAGCTTTATCCATACAGGAAACAATGTATGGATAATTAGCTTTATCGAATGAGGCAAACTTGTTAGCCTCTCGATACCATGAACAACAGAGCCAAAGAGAATAATAAGTATGGGGGAATACCTTTTTTGAGGGGGGAAAATCATCCAATGACTTCTCTCGCCTTGGGTTAGGCGAGAGAGAGAGAGAGAGAGAGACTCTTACTGGCTAAAAACCACCCCGTTCCTATTCCTGCTCTTCGTGCTGGAGCCTCGGCAACCCGTCCGTTAGCCCTTCTGCGGCTTCGTATCGGGTATCAGCCCTATTGGGCCCCATCTGTGGTGGTCTGAATCAAAGAGTAGGTACCTATAATAAGTATAGGGGATAGTCTGAATGGGGAAATACCTACATGTTGAATTTTAGACGTTTGACATCCTTTTAATTGTGTAACATTGTTGTTGATTCATGAATGTTGTGACGGTTGTATTTGCAAGCGTTATTTCCAAAATGATAAGATAATTCCATTCGTCACATTTAGCTACCGTTATCAATTGTTTGTCTAGTTGTATGAGTTGTTTACATACATACAGTTGATATATATTAGGTAACGACGATCCGTAAAATCGACTAAACATAGCGATCAATCATCGATTGAATCGATTAAGTCATTATGGTGAATCGGATGGATTACAGTAATTTTTGTTCATAGCTAGTAGCAATTATTTCACGCGCTGCTCATTTGCCGCTAGTGTTTCAATAACTACACAGGATTTAAATCGATAGTGGCGCCACCATATATTACATAATTTTTATATTCAGTTACGAGATGATGTCTACCACCATTTATACTAAACGCGAAGAATAATTTCAAAATAATTAAGATTGAAAGAGAAATAAAACTAACCAATAAATTATTATCTGGCCATTCATTTAATTTTGCAAAAATATGTTAAGCTTAGTGTAACAAAATAAATAAAATGCTTCATACACAGGAATGATATATTTTTGCCAGCAAATTACTTCTTATTCTTGTTTTTCTTGGCGGCTGCAGCGGCTGCTTCTAAATCAATGGGAGCTGGTTTGGTGAAGGGGATCAACTCTTGGTATTGTGTAGGCATCCATTGTTTCAAAGCTTCAGGTACCTGGGTTAAAGGAAAATGGTACTTAGTGATATTGTCAGAAGGTTGATGTTACTTTGTCGGTGTAACTATCTTTTTACAAGAATGGAATATTTGGTGGACATGGACACTGTGGTCAACGTGACAACAGATTTAGACACTACCTCATGCTCATACTAGGCACACAACACAAGTCATAAGCCATTCACAAATTCTTATTAATGAAAACTGGAACCATACACTTGTATTGGCCTTCATAACAAGGAACTATTAACATGTCATTAACAAGTGAAAAGTACCTTTATAAACATGTACACTTACACACTACCTCCTTATGGGTCTTTTTTCTTACACAATGGGGCCTACGCTCTTTTTGCTCACCACGTGCCGCTAGTATGGACCTGTCATTCTTCGTCCAATAGGGAATTAGCTAGTACCACCCTATTGGACGTTTAATATTTGACAGTTGCAGTCATTGGACAAGAAAAATTCTTCCTATATTTCAGCAAAAATACGGTAGTCTTTATAATAACTATCGTGAGACATACTAAATTAAATCGCGGGTTACTCTAAAGTTCTACTATATGAGCAGCGTGCGCTCATGAGGAAGAACCCCTCTGTGGTCCGAAACTAGTAGAGCTTTTCCCAGTATATTCACGTGAGTAACCCGCGATTTTAGTTAATACGGTAGTCTCCACTATTGTCTTGAAAAGTTAATTACCTTGATGCCCTCCTCAGTCTGGTTGACCTCGAGTATGGCGCAGATGACGCGCGTGGTGGCGCACATGGTCGCGTTCAACATGTGCACGTACTCCGTCGCCGTGTTCATCTTCTTCGTTTGACCGTATCTGGGAAATTAATAAAAAACGCAATAAGTTTTATGATGTTTTTATAATAACTATCGTGAGACATACTAGGTAAATTAAGTAAAAACGCGGGTTACTCACGTGAATATACTGAGTGAGCTGCGCGACGTCGCCGCGACCGCGCACGCTGCTTATAAGGAAGAACCCCTCTGTGGTTCGAAACTAGTAGAACTTTTATCAGTATATTCACGTGAGTAACCCGCGTTTTTACTTAAGTTTTATGATATTGCGAGTTTTTAAGACATTGGAATAGATAGTAAACAAGCAGATGCTAGAGCGTCAACTTACACTAATGTAATCGGTAGGTAATTGTGCCAAGTAGATTATCGACTTTAACACAAGACTATAAGGTTGAAAATACACATACTGACGGTAATATAGACCAAAATACTTTGTGTTCAACGAATAAAGTTGCAAATCCAAAAGATGTTAAATAGTTTGGAGAACTTTGCTACAGGTTTTAATTCAACAACTAACTCATTATTTCAATAAACAATTCTCTTGCAAACTACGTTTAAAAAAACCGACTTCAACCCCCTCTTTTTGAAGTCGGTTCATTAATATACTAAAAGTTTCCCCTAAGTGTAACAAACACTTTTCTGAAAACCACATCAAATTCGGTTCAGCTAATCGCGAGATAATCGCGCACAAAGATACATACATACATAGAACCAAACTGAGAACCTCCCCTTTTTTTAAGGTCGGTTACAAATAGACCTTACTTAATGGACTGAAAACCGGATAAGTGCAATTAATATGTATGGCTGTGTTATTGTTATAAGTTTTTATATTAAGTGACAACATTATCGCATTGGGTGTAACCTGTTAGGATGTGTTGAATTAAATAAATAAATATATTTCCCATACAAACTATCATACAACAAAAAATCTCTTTTACCTGACCAACAGTCTTCTAGCCTGGTACTCCAGACAGTTGCTGCATGACACCAGCTCACGGAAGGCTCCAGACCCTGGGAACCAAGCTTCCAAGTCCAGCTTCTTTGAGGCAGCATGGTTCAGAGCACCGGACACGATGTTCACGACACGGTATGGTATATTCAGTAGCTTGTAGAACTCCTCAGCATTTGTGATCATCTCATCCATCATCTTCCATGAGGCATCGTCGTGGGGAGAGGTCAGTACGAACTGTTCTACCTGGTGGAGAGAATACAAGTTGTGAATTTGTAAGTTTTATTTCTTATTGCCTTTATTTTAAGTTACTTGGTGAAGTAGGATTATAAGGAGAAATTGTGTAAAGAAAAAGAAGAATAAAGATGTTACAAAACACCTATTAGCTTTAATTTTTTTGTGGGGGGAAAATCATCCAATTGCTTCTCCCGCCCGGGTGAGGCGACAGGGAATGCCAGACTCTTACTGACTAATAACCACCCCGTTCCTACTCCTGCAGTTCGAGCCGGAGCTCCGGTAACCCGTTAAGTTTTCCGCGGCTCCGTATCGGCATCAGCCCTGTTGGGCCCCATCTGCGGTGGTCTGATGACTCCTTGAGCCGTACGCTCGGGCCTGGTTCTGGTCGGGCGGAGAGCCACCCATGCTCGTCGTCCGCAGGCCCACGCTTACGGTGGCCGGAGATGGTCTCGCGATCCCCGAGCCCGCAGTGTCTCTCGCGACGGCCGGGGCGTGAGGAGGTTCGTTCCCTCACGCGCTCCGCCTCTTCCTTAGCTATCATGACTGCTTCGCAGAAGGAGGACACGGCATCCCAGTCCCTCTCGCTCCGTACCATGGTCTGAACCAGAGCCGGACGCGAGAGGTCGCCGTCGCCGATCACATCCCTGAGGACACGGCGGTGCTCAGCCCACGCAGGACACACCGCCACCTGGCAGTGATGACACCCGGGCGTTTCCTCCCGCCCAATCCGAAACCAGAACCTACCGAAACTTCCATGTTCGGTAGGCACCTGCGTCAGGCGGTAGGTGAGGACGCCGTAGCATCTCTTAAGCCACTCCTCAAAGAGGCTGCTCAAACCGCTGCAATGGCAGTGAGCCCAACATTGCCCCACACTAAGATTGTCTCCTGTGTCGTGGGTGCGTTTACAAACATACAAGTTCACATACACATCACACCCAGACCCGGAACAACAATCTGTGGATCACACAGAGTTGTTCCGTGCAGGTATCGAACCCGCGATACGTTGCGCGGCAGCCAGTTGCCCATCCACCGCGCCAACTGTGCAGTCAAGTCAGTAATTAAACCATATTTTTAGGCTCCATCCAATGATTAAAGTACATAGGTATTTCCTTCTTTATTTTCGTGAATAAATATAGATATTTATGTGGTTTTAAAGATTTTCGTACTGATATATAAAAGATGCAGAACAATGTATGTAAATTATTGACTATACCTTTTCAAATTGATGTACCCTGAAGATACCACGAGTATCACGTCCATGGGAGCCTACTTCTTGACGGAAGCAAGTTGAGAGGCCTGCATACCTGAAAGTAAACAAAGATTTAGTTAATTAATATTTTAAGAGGCAAGCCTATTACAACCCTTCCAAAACTGCTGTAAGCCAGGACGTACAGCAGATAACTATATCTGCTGTACGTGCTGGCTTACAGCAGTTTGAAGCAGTTGGAAGGGTATTGCTATAGTTACTAAACTATAGCAATACCGGAACACTGAAGCCCGACGCGTCTCAGGGACAAGACATAACTGTTCCGAATCCCGCAACACAAATAACGCAAAAAACAAACAATTTCTTTAAATACTTTTGGTATGCTAAGATTCTAAGAAGGTTAAGTGTGGGAGAGCCATGCTTGCGCGCGCATGGGCCGGCTCGACCGGAGTTATACCACGGCGTCACAGAAAACCGACGTGAAACAACGCTTACGTTGTGTTTCGTTGTGTGAATGAGGTTACCGGAGGCCAATTAGGCCCCCCCCCCTCCAGTCTCCCCAATTCCCGAATCCTCCACAATCCTCAAATTCCCAATTCCTAAAAGGCCGGTAACGCATTTGAAATGCCTAGGTGTTTTAGGTGTCCATGGGCGACGCCGATTGCTTACCATCAGGTGATCCGGCTCATTACCGGCTTATACCACTTGGTTTCTTAAAAAATAAGTTCAAAACTAATATGTAACATCATATCTACTTACTTAATGGGTAACGAAGCCTCAGGCAGCCACTCGTCTCTGTGGTAAGCAGCGATTGGCTGCTCAGAGGTGGCGATGAGATACTTCTCCTCCACAGCGGAGTCTCCCTTATTCTCAGAGCCTTTGCCCACTACTTTGTACAACTCCTCGTCGAATTGAGCTAGTTGAGCTACTTCTTGCATCACCTGCAATATGAGAAAGAGATTCCAATTGGAATATACTGCACTTTTGTGTCTTTTGTACATAGGTATTTCTGTATGTTATATTCATATGTAAATCCAGTGTCATTTACGTCTATCCCATATAAATTAGTTTTCTACTCTACAAGTAGACATGCGCTAGACGGCATTTGGCTACAAGCCATTGGTATATAGTTTCTCTATTTCGAATATCTCAAGATAAGAAAGGAGGCTGATGTTTGGGGACATAAATATAAGATTCATAATTACTTCCTTTTGTTACTGAAATAATAGAAATATACAAACCTCCTTCCTCATGAAGAATGGAGTGTAAAGTGGCGTGTAGCCTTTATCTAATAGTATTCTAAGGGAGAGCTGGATTAAGGCCTGCTCTAGAAACACTGCGGGACCCTTGAGGTAGTATCCTCTGCCACCAGCTACCGCTGAACCTCGGTCACCGTCCATACCTGTTGATGTAAAGATATGTTATTGACATGACGATATGAAGTTTTAAATCGAAAGCGCAAGCGCAACTGTTGTGCAGGTTTTGAGTTCGATTTCTGGATGTAGGCATATATTTTTTCGGTTTTCTGACTTTTTCAGTAGTTGCTGCACTCAAGGAAAAACATTAATGATTTCATAGACTATAGTTATGCAAATAGGTTCTTATATGAATGATTAGATAAGTAAATATAACTTGAAAATCATGGGTTTCATAATAAAGTACTTTGACATACAATGTACTTTAATAGAAACTTATGCTACTTGAAGATAATATTTGCACAAGTGGAGTAACCATGAAATAACAATAATAATTATGGAGTATAATGATATATTGTGTGAGGAATGAAGATCTTTAATTTTGTTTAAGTTTGGAACAATATAATGAATAAGTGATTAATTCTTATAAGAATTGCATAGACATAGCCAACGTGTCGCGGGTTCAATTCCCGCACGGAACAACACTATGTGTGATCCACAAATTGTTGTTTCAGGTCTGAGTTTCATTGTGTATGTGAACTTGTATGTTTGTTAACGCACTTACGACACAGGAGAAAACAAAAAGGTGGAAAAGTTTAAAAAAAAAATCCTAGAACTTAAGTAAAAGAACCTAAATGTAGCAGTCAGAAGAAATGGTAAAACTCACCGTCAATCATACAAATAAGGTCTACATGGGAGTACTTGGTCCTGAAGGTGCAGTCTCCGTGTGTCCTCTCAACTTTGTTGTGGTCCTCGTCATCATCCACTGGCACAGACTCGTGGAGGTGGTTCCCCACTTCTCGGAGAGCTGCTGAACGAGCCTTCTCTGCCACCACTAGAGCCTGTTCGTTCTTTACTATGGCATCATCTATCAGTTGTCTGACCTAAAATACAAATGATTATATTTACTTCTATTCTGTTCATGTAATCAGAATGAGTTAATCAGATCTCATTTTTATACTATTTTAAGTGGGTTACAATATGATGGCTGTATTATGAAAAAATATTTTGGTTTCAAGTTGCAAAACATTTCTTGTGTCCCAATATTAAATCTAATAAGATAAGACTATTAAATGCTCTTTCTTATTGTCATTTATTATAGTTATACATATGAGAATTTAGCTTTAACCCCTTGAAAAGTGTTGAAAATAATCCCCTAAATTTGTTCATACATAAGTAGTCTCTGAACATTGAAAATAAGGTCAATAATGGAGTTAGATGGAGTTAGTGGAGAGCACCAGAGGACCACTTGGGGATATACGGGTTAATTATGTAAAGAGGAATAAATTCATTCTTATTAATATTTTTAATTATTTAGGCCAGTGATGTCTGTAAGTATGGAAGTTAAAACCTTAAATTAACACTGGTTTTAATAAGCATTATGAGTCACAAATGTTTGTACTGCATTGCATGATGCAATGTTATCAAACTCTGGTTCACTGAAATCAACAACAATATAAAATGGCTATTCAGCCAAAGTCAAAGTACATAGATTAAATTCTACATAAGTCTTCACTTTTTAATCACTTATGTTTATAAATTACTACATAAAAGATATTTTTCTATAATTTTCAGCATACTATTTAAAACTGATGTGTTTTAGATTACCATATGGAATGGTATGAATATGCCACATAAGAATTATGAGATAAGCTTGATAGCAAATACAATTTACTGATCTTTACTGAACACTTTCTCTCACCTTTTTGATCTGGTTCACTGTCAGAGGTTTCAAGTCATCTGCAGTGAGGTCCACCAGTTTCTCAGCCAATTCAGCTGGCACGGGCTCATCCTCTGGCCCTAAAGCTTCCTTGTTCTTCATCTTCAAACCCACAGCTTTGCTACACACATTCTTCAGCTTGTTATAATTGTCAGCTTCGTGGCGCAATCTCCTCCAAAGGGTATCCTGTTCCACCACGGTGTCGACGAGAGCAACATCTTTGAACCTCTTACGCTGATTTTCACGGATTTTATCCGGGTTACCGTCTTTATCGGCACGGAATAAGTCTAAGTCTAGCACCATGATGCCGCACTGTGTACAGACCCGAGTTTATTCTAAAAAATGTACAAGAATACAGTGCACGTAGCACTGCATGCGGTAAAAGAGAGTAAGAGAGAGGGTTCGTTCAAAATACTGAATGTGTGACAATTACTTCAATCAAATACTTGACAAAATAAATAATATTGTTGAAGTTAAAATTGTTTTTGTATTAGATTTTTATAAAATAAATAATTTTGTAGTCTGATTGTGTTAAATAGTTTCATGAATTTTACGTAAATTATGGAAAATCATTAGTTTTAAAGGTCTACTTATCAAAATGTAGGAATTCTGAACGTACACAAATTGACGTTTAGAAAAATTTTGAGTGATTTTGACTTACGAGTTACCGTCACACGTCGAATTCTGACAGATACGTTCTAAACATTTGCTAAGGTAGCGATTTTAAAAATCCAATAAATGAAATCTCTAAAAAGACGTTGTTTGATGCTGAAAAATGTATATACTTTTAGGTATAAATAAGAATTGTTTATTTTAAATCAAAACTACCTGGGGTCTCTTGGATTTTATTTTATAGAGTGTCACTCGAACTTTAATAATCAATTCTGCGTAGAAACTTAAATTGGAAAGATAGTGGAAAAGGCACATAAGTATGAAAAGTAGTAATTAGTGTCAAAAAATAATTATAATAAAAAAACAGAAATTCCGTTAAAAATTAGAAAGTCGGCGCAAGTCGCAGAAATCATGACTTTTATTTTTATTCACTGACGACGTTGTCGACCTTTAGTAATTTTACAAATGGCCACACCTGTTATAATTGTCAATTTGTTGAACGATTGGTCGGCCCTTTCTCGAGCTCTTGTTCATAAATTTTACGTTTATTTGTATAATATGTGGCTCTTATCGGATACCAGCTGAGAGTATTGAAGCTTGTTTATCCACATACAATTTGTGAGTATTTACATAAAGTAACTTTTATTGGTTGTCGCATAAAAATGAGACTGACTGTTCCTTGTTTACACGTATTCGATATCAATGGTTTCCCGATCTATTTACAAAGGGGTGGATTGTTCTCATTAAATTCTGTTTAAGTTCCGGTTGGATGGTTTTTGTTTTGAATTATTATTATTGTAGGTCTAGAGGTTATAAAGAGATGCTACTGATTGATGCGCTTCAGATAATTTGGTAAACGGGTTTGTTATTGCAACCCACTTTTTCGTAAATCGCACAATGCATTGCCGGTTGTGATCTAATCATTGACGAATTCTTGTTACAAATAACTTTGTTAATAAAACGGAATAACTTTGAATCACCATTATTTTCTAATGTACCAACCAATTGTGATGAATAGGTGATCCTGACACATTAATGATAAGAACTCGGCCCCCAAACATGACTGATAAAAATGAATCAGATTCGACATGAGCTGTTATCTTATAAACATTGATAATAAAAAACAACACATATTTTTACTAAACTGTAATAGTTTCCTGGTCTTATTAGATTATAATTGGGGAACCAGGAAACATTACTATAGAAATTAATGTGAAATGTTTGTGTTTTTCACAACTCTTTTTTATCACTTCAAAGTTTTAAAAATATTTTAACACAGTCTGGGTGTGAATTTGTATGTCTGTACACACCTTCAGAGGAAAAAAAGAAAGTTTCACTCTAACTCATATCTTATACTATTATATACAGCGGAAGAGTTTTTTTTTGTTTGTTTGAACACGCTAATCTCTAACTACAAGTCTGATTTGAATAATCCTTTTTGTGTTGGATAGCACATTTATCGAGGATGGTTATATCCCCTCGACTGTCGATCGACCATCTCCTGGTCGATATCTAATCGTGCTCATCTGTCGGACGCCAGCTGCTGGTCGATCGTTGCCGCCGTATTTTAATTACAAAAATAAGCGTTGGAATGTGTATCTTTACTGTTCTAACTTGCAAAACATACGGGGAATACGACAAGGATAGAATATACCACCACATGTTAAACAAATTCCCGCCGGTAACATGAGTATTGTTTAGTCTATGCGGAGCCGTTTGTAGTCGTGTGGTTGTGTTATAGACCCAAGTGTTTTTATGGTTTGAAGGTGTTTTTAAGTGAAATTGGACAATATATTGTTTAACTATCATGGAAGGGTAAACAATAAACAGTTTTTAATTCATGACTTGAGTGTCAGACAAAGATTTAGGGTAGAAATTAATCTGTTTATAAACATCGTCACCCATATCGCGCGTCACCGCATTACATTTTGAGTTGTTTTGCATTTAAAATACTACTGTAACAGCCAAATGTAATGAATGACATCAATAATACATCTAACTGCATACGTACACAGCATTTAATTTGAATATCTTCGATAAGATTTTGCGTAAAGAATAAAACTAAAATACGCAACAACGGGCTCAAGGTCATTGGCCTCGGCAAATCGCCATTTTAGTTTCATAATTGGATAAGTATGGATAAAACTTTTGAGTGGATTTGGATTTCTATTTCGAGTATTGTAATATTTTTTGTGTTATCTTATTAGATATTGTTTCTTGCGTGCATTTTTGTTTTGTCTTTTATTAGTATTTTTTTAAAACGTGCACGTGCTGTTTTGTTTCCGTCCATACTATGTTAGCTTCCTTACTACTTTTTGTAGAGAAATTGTTTGTTTTAGATTTTAATTTTTGAATGATTTTGATATTTAGTTGCTTAATTATTATATTTTTTGATGAGTAAATATTATCAAATTGTAGAATATAAATTAATATTGGAAAAACTTCTAACAAAATTTGCTCTGTGATGCAAAGTTTGGGAGCACGTTTTTTAGCGCTTATTTTCAAGTGCTTAGTTTTTTGTTCAACACTTGTAAAGTATACATGTCTAACAGCTAAACCTTTGTTTGTAATAAGATTACGAACCCAACTACAGAATGAGTCTTTGTTTTTTGCCACTTGGCCCACAGTGTTCTCAGAATTGAAGTATAAACATGACCCTTTTTTTGTGTTGCGCTCAGGTAGCAGAAACGACGCATGTGATTGTTACGCTTGTAGTGTAAACAAACAGTATGAAAGCGTGTTTTTTTTAATGGATTATGATTCAACAGTATATTTTTTTGTAAATAAAATAAAAGTAATTTGAGAAAATTGATAAATTTTTTAATACCATGCAAAATATTTTCTTACAACGACTTTCTCCACTTTCTCCATCTTTTGCCTTAGAATTAACAATATATCATTTGGTAAAATCATCATGAATTATACTCACGATGTAGTCTATAAACTACAGATTATGAATACATAAACTTAATATACATCTTTCATACAATATTTTGGAGATATCGTCATTTTAATGGGCCGCGGCGATTTCGCGAGAGCCCACCCACGATGACGTAAACATATCCGCCATATTGCGAAATTTTGCGTCGACAGTGGAGGGGATAAGCTATAAAATATCACGCTACAACCAATAGGAACTGAGCAGAGCATGTGAAGCCGTGCGGATGTAGCTAGTTACATATAAATGCGAAAGTTTGTGAGTATGTTTGTTGTCAAAACAGCTGAAGGGACTGGGTTGAAATTCAGAGCAGGGATAGATAATGGTCTGGAATTACACAGGCTACTTTATATTCAATGGGAAAGTGGGTGAAGCCACTAGCAGGCTTGTTTAATAATAAGTAAAGTATTGTTTCAATGTGCAGTGGTAAATTATAATAATGTAAGTTACTAGTCATTAAGGTAAATAATGATTAATTTTATTTATATGTTATTGATTTTACATTGACAATGCTCATATTTTATGCCTGCTATATATTTTGTTACAATATTTGTATTGATTTTTGAAGATATTAATAAATATATTTTAGGAAGAATTTCTAGAATGAATGAATTTTTATAGTTTAAAAATTATTGCTAGTAACAATTGCACAAACTAGTAATCCACAAGTGGTTATTAATTTGTTTGAAATTTAGAAAATTAAATGTGTTTGCTCTAATCTGGGAATAAATTTTAGAAACAGGACGATGGCTTTACATATTCGCGACTTCAATGTGCATTGCCAGCATTCAAGGAGAAAAATAAAAAACTATCATTATGTACTACAAAAAAAAAAAACCATAAACAGCTTATCTTACAGGTATAAAGATGTATCTGATAGTATTGAGTGATACTAAAGTAATCTATGTTACAAGTTGTGAGGTCATGAAATGACTGTAAAAGACTAAATTACATCATCAAATATCTGATGCAGAAAGTGAAATACAAACTAATTATTAAGCAAGTTACTTTTTAGAGCATGATTATAATGAAACTAAGAAAAAAAGCAGTGTAGATGCTGTATGACACACATAATCCTTACTTATATTGTAAATGCAAAACCGAGTTTATTGCTTCTTTAAATGCCAAAATTTGTTCATGCAGAAGTAGTCCCTAAACATCGAAAATAAGGTCTATAATGGAGTTAGAGGAGAGTATGGGGATTGAACAGTTCATCTTCAATTTTTCTTATTGTACTCAGAGGCCACAGTACAAGTTTGTTTTACGTTTAAAGTAATGAAACGGGACTCTGATTGGTTGGTTCATTGGAACTGGCCAATCAGAGCGCCAAACGCGTACTCGTTTTAATTACTTTGAACGTAAAACAAAATCTGTACTAAGGCCTCTGGCCTAATTTCATTAGCACAAAGCTCCATATATATATCTTACTTTTTATAAAACTTCTAAGAAATGTTTATTTTATTTTGTTCACAGGCGATGTTAAGATGATTCCATTAAAAGACAACCAGGATGTGGCATCATTCCTTGTCACCAAGCACTCATGGAGGGGGAAGTACAAGCGAGTCTTCTCCATCGGCACTCACGGTATCACCACATACAACCCCGACTGTTTGGAGGTGACCAACAAATGGCTGTATGCGGATGTAGTCACTATTGCATCTGCAAAACATTCAAATTCGACCGCCAACCATGACTTCACACTTGTCATGAAAAAAGAAAAGAAAGTAGATTCAATGAAGTTTTCTTCGGAACACAAATGTTTGATTCTCACTGAGGCTTTTAAATACAGACATGCATTCGCTGAAAAACCTAAGGACATTTATGTAAGTATTTGTTTATGAAATAGTAAATAAGGAAATAGGTACTGTTAATATGCATTTTCAGTGTATAATAATAATAATTGTTACTATTTAATATTGTTAAACGAAGGATTTCATTTCCTGTATTCTGTTGGCTATAAACCTCCTTTGTCTAGTAATTACAGAATTTACAGGCCTACCCAACAAAAGACTCTTTAACTTAAGATTATTTACTCAGTTTTTGTCTACGTTCTCATGTTTTTTTATTTGTTTTTCAGAGATACCAAGCATACAAACACCATTGGAGCGGGACTCGCCTGCCAGTAGTACTAGAAGTTGGTCCCTGTGCACTGGAACAGCTGGACCCTTCCACACACACATTACTCGCCAGCTACCCGTACTGTGATGTGCAAGGAATACTACCAGTTCGAGACGTGCCAGGCGGCTTCGTCCTCGCCGTTGGAGGCTACAGCAGACTCCATCTCTTCTCCAACGCCATGGACCATCAGATCATCATTAACAAAATGCTGGAGATGGCAAGCCTGACTCTAAGCATCAGCATCAAAGTGTTGTCCACAATGATCACATTAGACGATTATCATGACCAGAGATTTGGAAAGTACAGGTATGAATTTCAGCTCTATTTTTAATACAATGACTCATTTTATCGTCGTGCGCGTAGGCATTTCAATTAGTTACACTTATATTAAATTTTTCATTATGAATCACACAAATCTTCAAAGCAAATTTCGTTTTTTTGATGATTTTTGAGGAAGCTATAGATGGATGTAAGAATCGTAGCATAGCTATTGGCGTTTCCATAGTCTCTGCCTACCCCCATGGGAGACAGGCGTGAGATTATGCATGAATGTATGAATCACACAAATGTTTAGTAATTTTAGAGTTTGGTCATAGGGACAGACATGAGTTTTGTTTCAATCTATGTTTTTCGCTGTGAGTATGGGTGGGCTCTGCTATATGTATGGAAAACCGCAAAGGTTACTAACTCTATGAATAGACCTTTGTTAAGATGTTACTTTAACATGCGATTTATTAGTTTTGACAACTAGAAACTAGAACTAGAAAGGCATCAACTACTTATTTGCATAATTTTAGTCTACATTGAATGTAAATATGTATATGTATGTTTGTCAAAACATTATAAAATTAGTATGATAGTTGGCCGTCTAAATTAACAACATACATACGTAATTACAGCTATTGTTCATCCACACATGTTACCCTGCATTTGATTGTGGTCTGTTGATTTGTGCGACCTTGAGTGTGAACTCATTTATCTGACGCGATACACTAGTTTTGTAGACATATCAATTATGTCCATTATTACATTTCTCTTGATGATGTTATTTTAAGAGGAAAATGTCCGACGGGCGTTTTTTACTTTCCAAATTATGTTTAAGCGGTGTTTATGCCATCGCAAATATGCCGCCTACAAAAGACAAGTGCTTGCATCTAGCTTAGAAACAATGTAAATTCAACGAAGCGGCAATTATAGGCCGCCTGGCATTATTTATAGCATGCATTCGTCAAATGACGCGTCGTGGATAGTAGGCCTAACAGTTGTGTGTACACAAAGTATTTATTACCTATGCACACTATAAAACAAACAAAAAAAACTTTCCAGTTTACAACATTGATGCGATATCCGTTGTTGTTCACCAAACACATAAAAATACTGAATTATCTTCAAATTGAATGAACTTACGAGAGTGAAATCACTACATAGTATAAAATAAAGTCGCTATCCGCCGTCTGTCTGTCCCTATGTATGCTTAGATCTTTAAAACTACGCAACGGAATTTGATGCGGTGTTTTTTCAATGGATAGAGTGATTATTTAGAAGGTTTATATGTATAATACATGCATATTGCACCCGGGCCGGGTCGCTAGTTGTTGATAAAATAGAACAATCATAATTTTTTGGTTGATGAAGAACAGGAGCATGTGTTACGCCCACTTTTCAGCAGGTATAAGTTACAGATCCTAGTGGACCCTTTTCACCACAGAGATTACAAGTCAAGACGTCAGATTCAGCTAATCACCTATGCAACCTGATCAAAATGCCCCAATCAAATTTTAAACATTTCCAAATGTATTTCTAAGTGTTTTACTACATTTTGCAGTGGTGACCAACATCAGACCTCTCTAAGCGAATTTATAGTCCACAAAGTGAACCCGGCTCGTCACATGGAGCCGATGCGACGGACACTCTGCCTCTCTGACACCTGCATACTAGAGAGGGATCCACAGACGTACTCTGTAAGTTGATTTTGTTAACAGTTTTAGTTTGTAGTTGACTGCCTCGTTGGCCGAGTGGTCGCAAGTGTGACTGCCGGGCAAGGGGTCTCGGGTTCGATTCCACTCGGGCCGGGTCGGGCAAAGTATTACTGGGTTTTTTATATGTAGCACGGAGTCTGGAATCGTGCCCGGTATTGGGGTTTATTCGATTTGAGTCGGGAAAAGTATTATTGGATTTTTCAATAAAAAAATTGCAGTACATACACAGTAGTAGCATGGAGTCTTGAATTGTGCCTGTCATATGGCAATAGGGTTACCACACCCTATTACATGGGACTCATAACATAAATAGTGAAGAGTGGATGTTACATTGTACAATGGCATAATGTAACCCCTTCGGGGATAAAAGGCGTGATGTTATGTTATGATATGTTTTAGTTTAAAAACATTTTTTATACAAACAAAAAAAGGAAATTTCTAAGATAAAATCGATTTTTCAAATACTATGTACAAGTGATCGCCTTATAATATCTCTGTAGGTATGTACAAGTAATCGCCTTATAATATCTCTGTAGGCACATTGTATAGAATACATACATAGGTTTTAATTGATAAACTAATATTATCATATACATTTGCTCTGTGAATCATGAGAACTTACAATTAAATCATAATTCCCACACCTACTACTGACAGAAATATAGAGAAATAATTAAAAACGTATGTTCCTTTTCAGGTGGTATGCCTTCGTCCATTGAGCGATGTATTCGCGTTAGTGCGCGACACGGAGCATCCACAAAAGTTCTCCATCGAATATCTTAATGGACAAACACGCACATATTTAGCAGGAGAAAGGTAAAATTAATAATAATCTATGAACCTAGACAAGAAAAAGCTTTTAATTTTCATAATGAGTCCCTACTCTATATTTAAAAAAAACTTTTAGAAAATTAAGCTTTAAAATCAAATAACACATAAATAAATCTAAATATTATTGATTAATTAAAATATACAGCTTAGGGGCCGTTCAAATATTACGTAAGCAGATTTCTTACCATTTTTTACCCCCCCGCCCCCCTTGTCATAAAAAATAAGCAAAGCACTTACTCCCTCCCCCTATGCTTACGTAAACATTTTTAGTAATAAATGTTTTTTTATATTGTTATTTTTAAAATAGGAAAATTCATGGAAATATTAGGTTTAACTGATACACATAGAGTAAATGACAAAAAATATAATCAGAAATAAAGAACATAACTAACATAAAGAATATTTTCGGAACACATTAACAGTCTTCAGTCCATGAAACCTGAATCCATGATTCTAAGTTATCGATGACATTGGATTGCTGCTCAGTGTTGTGAGTCTGCTCATTTTCATCCGATTTTGTCCCAGTATGAGATTTTTTAAAACTTTCGAACAGTTTTTGGTATAACTTGGATTTGTCTATATGATATGACATTCTAATAAGATATTTAAATTTAAATAATTAAAACGTTAAACTTTGACTAATTGCATTAACATAAACACAAATGATAACTTTCAATGCTTACAATACGTTTAGAATCCAAACAAAACAATACTGATAGATGCGCACTTGCAGCTTGCGGCCGGCACGAGAGCTAATTATTAGACAAGTGAATAGCGCACGGTAATTTCCCTAATGCGCGGTAATTCCCCTAATCAGTTCTCAAAGCGAGTGCCTACGCATATGTATTATTTGCGGGAATCCCCGAAAAAACTTGAATAACTAACGATGACGTAATCATCATCTAGACCCCCTCACCCCCCATGTCATCCAAAATAAGCAAAACAGAGACCCCCCCACCCCCCCTTGGTGCTTACGTAATACTTGAACGGCCCCTTACTCACTTGAACTATAAGAGAAAACTCTACTAGCTGACTGCGAGACGTTATCGCACTGCATACGCATAATGATAAAAAAAAATAAAGACCATCAACATAGACAAAGACATTGACCTATCAAGAATAAAAAAAAAATACGCTGCTCATGTGTGAGTCTCGACATGACTCGAAATAAGTTGAACTTTCACGTCATTAGGCCGTTTGCAATTCATTTTGAATATCCCACGATAATTATTATATAACAATACCAAGTAAATGTATTTTTAATCTTTATTTTTTTGTTTAAATCTAGGGACGCGTTACTAGCATCGTTGCTAGACGGCGTAAGGTCCGCTGGCCAGCGCGACGTCCACGTCCGCTCAGTACCGACTCCCCGCGGCTACCGACTGGGACCTCTACACCAACCTGTCGACGAGGAGACTGAGTCCAATCACCTCAGGTATTTCTTTTAATTATGATCTTTGAAATTAAACTTTAAGTATAAATAAATAAGGTACAATTTTGTGTGTACAATAAAAAGTAGGAGTAGTGCTCCACTATAATCATGTATTGTTGTTGTTGTTAAAGTTCATTAATTAAGGAATTCTTTATTTTATTTTTTTTTATGGCATAAACCGGTAAACGAGCTGACGGATCACTTGATGGTAAGCAATCGGCGTCGCTCATGGACACCTGGAACACCAGAGGCGTTACAAGTGCGTTACCGGCCTTTAGGGGGTTAGGAGTTTGAGGATCGTTGGGGATTCAGGAATTGGGGAGATTGGGGAAGGGGAGGGTAATTGGGAGCCGGCCCATTCGTGCCGAAGCATGGCTCTCCCACACTTCTAGCTTAGCCCTATTAGTATATTGGAAATCAACCAGAGAATTTGACAAAAAATATTTACACCAACTAAACGAAACATAGTTTTACAGGCAAAGGACACAGGAAAAGCAATACACGTCAGTAACGAAAATATAACATAACATAACATCACGCCTTTTATCCCCGAAGGGGTAGGCAGAGGTGCACTGTACAATGTAACACCCACTTTTCACTATTTATGTTATGAGTCCCATGTAATAGGGGGTGAGCCTATTGCCATATACCGGGCACAATTCCAGACTCCGTGAAGAAAATATCGATAGCTTGAAAACCTAAACATTTGTTTGCAGATTGTTCCAGAATCCAGTAGGCATGTCGCGCGCCGAGGTGATAGAAAGATTCAACGCTAATGTCGGCTACAGCGGCCTTATATACTCCGTCAGCCAAGACGTAAGCCCTTTTTGTAACACGCTGTATAACTGCACTATACATGCATACTATACTAATCTATTAACATACCCATTTCTTCTAACACTTCACATAAATCAAGTTTCATTCCAAATTCGACTTTATGTCTGTTGAATTTGTGTCCAAAATTGAATAGGCAGTCAATATCTTGTAACACTACACATTTTTCATATATCAAGTTTTCTACGAAACTCGACCTTATGACTATCGAATTTGTGTTCAAAATTGTATAGCTAGTCAGTGTCTGTGGATTTTTATGTAAAATATCATTGCATTCATTTCCAAAGAGTTTGTTTTACGCATGCATTATGCATATCACCATACATTGACAATGACGCATGTTGTAATTTACGTTCAGTCGAAATTTTACAATGAAAAGGATTTAAATTGTGTTATTTGGGATACAAATCGCAAATCAATGTTTTACTTTTTTTAGATAGACTGTTTTCCTTTTTCTTATTTATTTATTTATTAGCTTTTTCTAAATTGAAATGGTTTTCCCAGTTTAATTTAAAGTGATATCATGTGCTTTCATTAAAACATATTGATGGAGAATTACGCCAAGAAAATACAAAGAAAAGAGTTATTATGAAATAGGTACATTACGATACTCATGTCACGCTATCCACGAACATCACGCTTTCTTTATACATATATATATATATTGTATTGTTGTTTCCTGGGACATATTAATGTACATTGTGTGCCTCTAGGCCCGTCCCCTGTTGTGGCTGTTTCTTACGTGGGATCTTGTAAGTCCCCTGATAATTTTATTATTTTACACCTCTTACATTGCTACTCTATATTACCGAGGTAGAGGGACAAATTATCTACCACAGAGTTTATTTTTACTCTAACGCAATCGTAACGTTACCGCGTTCAGCCCTCTGAGGCCCTAGTACGAGTTCCTTTTACGTTTAAAGTAAACGTAACGAGTACGCGTTCGGCGCTCTGATTGGCCGGCTCCAATGAACAAACCAATCAGAGTGCCAAGCACGAATACCTATCGCATTCGTATCGTAACAGTATCGAGCGAGTTGAGCGTTCTGATTGGTGGGTCCACTTGAGCCGGCCAATCAGAGCGCCGAACGCGTTCGATACTATTACGTTACGAATGCGATAGTTATTCGTGCTTGGCACTCAGAGCACAGAACGCCGTCTCGTTTTGATTACTTTATACGAAAAAGAAACTCGTACTAGCCCTATGATTGGTTGATTAACTTGGAGCAGCCAATCAGAGCGCTGAATGTCATAAACGTGTTGATAGCGTTATGTAGAAATAATTCAGTATCTTCTTCCCATCGCTTTAGGGCCTCGTGGTCGTGGGGTAGAAACATTCATATACATGTAAATACCATAGTTTTACAATGCGATGTCTGCACTAACTATTGGAATGTTGTACATTTTGCATAATGTATTTTCTTGTTATTAGTCGTGGGTACATTATTTTGAATGGGTACAAAATATGAATGAAATGGAATATATTTCTTTAAATGTTGGGATAACAGTTTTAAAGTTGCACGATATTGTTCAAAGACCTTGAAAATCCTATATGAAATTTATAAGTGTTGGCAAAGCCGAGTGCACTAAAATGTTGCATCGCAGCGTCTGTTTGCGGAGAACAAGGAGAAGTTGATCACGGGCGCGCTGTCCGCGCTGGTCAGCAGTGCGCCGTCCGGCAGCAACTTAACGCCCCGGGAACTTGAGGCCCAGTTCCACGCGCTGCGACGACTTTGTGCTAGCAAAGTTGGATTCGCTGCGTTTACTGCGTTACCTGGGTAAGTTATAATATGGTTTCTATGTAAATTGTTATTTTCACTATTGCGAAAGCTTACAATGAAAGTATTGACCAAACAGCGTAAATACCTTTATTAACTTTTGATGTTTGATCTTATCTCATTTGTTGAAAGGGGCGTGTAATGTTTCCGTATTTTGATAATAAAAACATGCCCCTCATATCATTTATTTATATTATTTTATAATGATGTAATTGTACTATTCTTTGATAAGGTTCTAGGATAAATAGGATACCTATTTGTTTGAATTATCCTTATAGCAAAGTCTTTGTAATTGTGCTTGAGATATGACAATAAGCTCTATTTTAATTTACTTAATGTAACTGCCAAAAATTTAGTGTTGTATTATATCGTTTAATCGATAAACTGAAACACCTTGCTACCACAAACTAACCATTTGCTATTTCCTTAAGTTAAATGCAGCGCTGTGGAGCGTTCTTTGGTCACTTATTCGAAAAAACATACAATAATTCGTATGTCAAACACTGTCCCTCAAAATACAGGTGAAACCTAGTTTGAGAGTCAGTATTCATAATTGTAATCTCAGATCATACAACAATCTAAATATTGTATAAGTATTTGTCCATGAATAGATGTGTATACCTTGTGTTGAGTAAAGTTATTATTGTTACGTTGGTTGATTAATTAATTATAGTCGGATTTATTTTACTTGGATTCATTACAATAATGTGCAGGGTGCACGACGTGTACACACACTTAGACTATGACAGGTAGACAGCAGCGTTAATAACGAGTGTCGTACCTTATATAAGACATTAAAGTGAGGTGGCCACTACTTACTAAATAGTGATGTACATACATGTGACAATTATTATGAAGTTTCCGCGAGTGGACGGGCACGGCGACGGTGGCGGCCCTGCGGCGCGGGTCGGCGGCGTGCGCGCACGCGGCGCTGGACGCGGTGTGCGCGCTGCTGCAGCCCATGCACGCCGAGCCCGACCTGCGCCAGGAACAACTCAACAAGGCCAGCATGCTCTCCTCCGCCTCCTTCCTCGAGGGGCTGCTCACCATGTGGGCTGACCATGTCGTGAGTGCCTTCATTCATGTTCTATTATAACTTTCGTGAGACATACTAAATATTTCAATTATACGGATTTCAATTATATTACTTTAAAACCTATGCTGTTAAATAAATTAATTTCCTATGTACTACAATTACTATACATAAATAGTTGCCTCTTTATTTCTATTCGCATAAGGTCTATTTCCCTTCAGACTAGTGGTAGCGGTGCCCTAGTAGTGGCGGCCATGTTGGACTTCCTGACGTTTGCCCTGTGCGTGCCGTACAGTGAGACCACGGACGGGAAGCAGTTCGACCAGCTACTGGAAATGGTCTCCAAGAGAGGACGGGTGCTGTTCAAACTATTCGAGGTAATTAGACAATAGAATTTAAAATTTACGTAAAGATTTTGATTCATAAGTTGTGTCAATCCAACCAATTGATTATTCAATTTCTCTGTACATATTTCACACATACATTGTGTAATAATTGTGATTAATAACCAATTTTAATCTTGATCAACATTTTTAATAGAAACTCCATACGACTAATGGCAAAAATCGATATTAATCGAAAGATTTCTTTGTAAGTGACTGAGATCGAGATCAAGAATCGACAGCAAGCAACCGATGCCTTATATCTCTCGACTTCATTGTCCAAATGGGTTGGACTTTGTTCACCGTCCTTCTGACTTCGTAATATTCTTGTGCAGCACCCATCGATGGCGATAGTGAAGGGCGCAGGCCTAGTAATGCGCGCGCTGGTGGAGGAGGGCAGCGCGGCCGTGGGGGGCCGCATGCAGGGCCTGGCGCTGGCCGAGGCCGCCCTGCCGCGACATCTGCTGGCCGCGCTGTACGCGCCGCCCCGCCTCCAACACAGACATCTCGCCAGGCACCTCGTCGCTCTATGGCTGGTAGACCATGCGCCCGCGCATTGTCTGCTGAGACGGATTATGGTATGTACTTTATGAGGTTGGACGGTTCGTTATTTAAACATTTTGGTGACGATGAACTGCTTTTTACTCCTGATTCTTTTTGACTCTTGTAGGTACTAAACGCTCAAAATACAAAGCCAGTCAATTATTTTTCTGATTATTTTTGCTGTATTTACACACGCAAAAGACATAATACTTTTCAATAAATTTAAACCTAAAAGATACCTAGAAATCTATCACTCTCTAATTCCATAATTTCCTTTATGCTGTGCAGCCATCAGGTCTGCTAGCATTCCTGGAGTCCGCGGACGTGCCCCCGGCGGTGGAGGCGGACGTGGAGCCCGAGCGCGACAACTTGTCGCTGGCGCAGGCGAGCGTCAAGCCGCGCGCGCAGCACTGGGAGGCACTCGAGAGACAGGTCAAATATGTTGAGAAACATTTGGAGGTAACTAATTGGTATTAATTTTTATTATTGTGTTGGTATGTGTGTGATATTTGGTTGAATATAGTGCGAGAAAAGGTCATTGCTTGCTTAAAAAGTGAAAGAGCAAAAAGAGAAAGAGCAAAAAGGGAAAGAGAGAGAGAGAGAGAGAGAGGGAAAGAAAGAAAAGAGAGATAAAAAAAACGGTTACATGGTGAAACAGTTACAGATCAAGCAGCTTCTGCTGAATTTTAAAACATTTGTCGCTAGTAACATTACTTTTTTTATAGCACTACGCCCAACTAGCCCTCCAACATTGGGCCGCTCGGCTGGGTCGCCCGGCGGCGGAGCGCAGGGACGCGACGCGGGAACGACCCGTCGTACTGCGGAGACGAAGGGAGAGAGTCAAGTCTACTGCCAACTGGCCACTCTTCTACTACCAGTTCCATAAGGACCATGCTCTGCCTAACCTCATATGGAATCATACTGTAAGTTGTCATTGTGATAATTTTATGTAGATTTTGAGCAATGAATATATCACGTTGTAATTTCCGTTACATATGTCCAAATACTCAAACGCTACTCAATTTTAAGTCGCGCTTAAGCGTAGTCCCTACAAATTCTTTGTAAAATGACAGAGATGGCACGATATTTGAGTACAACTTAAAATTGTGCAGCCTTTCAGTATTCGGGCGATAAGCTCAAAAGTCTAACTATATACTTACATTTGTAAGAAATGAGCAGCCATCATTATTTCTATAGTATTTAATAAAATTGCTTTGATATGGGACTTTCAGCCATGTAGCGTTGTATTAGAGTTTACATATGTTTTCATATATTGTAAAATAGTTAATCATAATATTTGATGAATCTGATATCCCGATTAAGTAAAGCCTCTCTTTATATTTACGATGTCCAAATATTGTCTGACATAAAAAATACTAGTTGCTATAGCTATTCTAAAATGCATCTTAAATAGATAAACATAAAGTTCATTTTACTTTCCAAAAGACTCGAGAAGAACTTCGCAACGCTTTAGAAAACGAACTGCGAGCGTTTACATCAGACAGAGAAGTGGCAGGTACGACCCTGACATCGTGGAACCATGCAGAGCTGGAGGTCCACTACCAGTGTCTGCAGAACGAGGTCAAGATCGGAGACTATTACCTTAGGATACTGCTGGAACAGAGAGACAATGATGACAGTCCAATTAGGAAATCGTAAGTATATGATTTTGTTTTTTTAGTCCTTTTTCTGCTTACGTTGGGGGTGTTAGGGGGGGCGGGTAGAGGCACTATATTAACATCATATTTGTATTATAACTTTAGTGAAACATACTAAATCAATTATTATGTTGTTCGTGTAACCGTTTGACGACGAACTCGACTAGTTTCGAACCATTCTAGGGGCTTATATTCATGAGAAACATTCCACGACACACGACGCGAGGACTGTAACTGTCGTTGTAGCTGTGTTAAAATGTAATTCCTCTTAAAGTTAACTACTAATGTAGGACATAAATGTCCACAACTAAAATTTTTCACTAATTATAAATTTTCACTAATTATAAGGGAGTCCTTATTTGCTAGTAAAATCACAGAAGGTTGTAATGAAAAGTTATAGGTCAATCATCCTAATTTCCTTTCCAGCTACGAGTTCTTCAACGACCTATACCACCGTTTCTATCGACACCTAAAATAGAGATGAAGTGCATGTGTCTACAAGCAATGAGCATTGTGTACGGACGGTACTTTGAAGACATTGGACCCTTTGCAGACACCAAGTATATCGTGCAAATGTTGGATAGGGTGAGTTTAATGAAGTTTTTTTTTTATTGAGCCGACAGACGGATCACCTGATGGTAAGCAATCGGCGTCGCCCATGGACACCAGAAACACCAGGGGCGTTACAAATGCGTTACCGGCCTTTTGGGAATTAGGAATTTGCGGATTGTGGGGGATTTGGGAGACTGTGGAGAGGTAACCTCACTCACACGAAACACAACGCAAGCTTTGTTTCACGTCGGTTTTCTGCTCGGCTGTGGTATCATTCCAGTCGACCCAGTCCATTCGTACCGAATCATGACTCTCCCACATATTGTGTGTGTGTTTGTTTGTTTTTTTTCTTATACCACAACGGTGGCAAAAAAAGCATACGGCCCACCTAATGGTTATATGGTTTGTTACTCTTTCATGCAGAAACTAATGAAGGGATCGGGATGAAATTTGAAACAGGGGTAGATAATAGTCTGGAATAACACATAGGCCACTTTTAACCCTACGGGAAGGCGGGCGAAGCCGCTGGCTAAAGCTAGTATTGTATAAAGACTAAGCATAGTTTAATACGATCATATTCAACTGTACATGTATGTCACATCTATGGTTTTCTGTATTTGTTTCAGACTTGTGATAGAATGGAAAGAGATAGATTAGTTCAGTTCTTATCGAAATTAATATTACACAGAAGAAATGTTAGCGATATTTTAGAATGGAATGGTATTAGGTAAGTTTTTTTTATTTAACTTCAGCTTCTAAATAGTATCTGAAGACGATGACTTATTTAATTTGGTTGTAAGCGGTTTAATGAATGATAATATGGCATCTGCCATTATGCTTTAACATTTGAAAGCCTAACAAGCCTTAAATCTACAGTGACGCCATCTAGGCATTGCAAAAATCATCTGTCAAAACCTCTTCTACATTATAAAGTAGTTTAAAAGTTTTATTGAGTTTTACTGTTCCGTTATAATAACATGTAGCATATAATAATAGTGTAGCTTAACTATTATTATTCGTTTCAGGATCCTAGTAGAACTGATGACATTAGCACACTTACATACGTCTAGAGCCACAGTACCGGCACAGAGCAACGTTATAGAAGGGCCGCAGCAACAGACTGGCGGGGACAGGGAGTGGTATTATAATGTCGATCAAGGGGATAAAGTACAGAGGAAGGGACCCGTTAGCTTCCAACAGGTAATTATGTTCATAGATCTTCAATGTAAGCTGATGAATCACCAGATGGTAAACAATCGGTACCATCTATAGACACCCGAAACATCAGAGAATTTACAGTTAGTCAGTGAGATTTGAGGATTGGAGGTGGGAGGGGTCGAGTTTTGGGTCCCCTTGGTAACTTTACTCACACGGCAAAACATAACGCAAGCGTTGTTTCACGTCGGTTTTCTGTAAGGTCGTGGTATCACTCCGGTTGAGTGCTATTAATCATATAAATTTTATCATGGTCCCGCTTTGTATCATCTTTTCGCACATTCGACGGTCAGCTTATACTGGTTATGCATAGCTTGATGTGATTTTTACTTTATTTTTCATAGTTGAAAGACTTGTACAAATCGGGTGAAATAAACAACAAGACTAAGGCGTGGGCTAATAGTATGGAAGGTTGGCGCGCAGTGGGTGGAGTGGCCCAGCTTAAGTGGACACTGGCTGCAAGAGGAACTGCGGTATATGATGAAAGTGCATTGGCTGCCACTGTATTGGATCTGCTTATTACCTGCGCCAGATATTATCCCAGCAGGTATGCTTATCAATAATGAACTGAACTGTATGTTCATCAATTAACTGAACGGAAAAAGTTAATACAAGATGATGTTTACTACTTATTTCTATAACATTATCAATTATTTTGTAAATATATATGTAATGGTTATTTTAAATATTTCGTGATACATACTAAATTAATTATTTTTTCGGTTTACACACGTAACTGTTTGATGAATACTCTACTAGTTTCACTTTGAAGCCATGCTAGAAGCATGATTAACATTCGGCGACACGCAACGCGGCGACTGTCGCGCTGCTACCGATACTAATAATACTTTATTTTACTTCTGAGGCCTAAGTACGAGTTTGTTTTACGTTTAAAATAAGTAACGAGTACGCGTTCGGCGCTTTGATTGGTTGCTTCATTGGCGCCGGCCAATCAGAGTGCCGAATGCGTACTCGTTTCGAATACTTTAAACGTAGGCCTCTGTCTATATTAACGTTAACATTTATCCGTTTTTGCAGAGATGAAGAGGATGCAGTAATAAGGCCGTTACCAAAAGTAAAGCGAATGTTATCAGAACCAGCTTGTCTAGCACACGTTGTGCAGCTGTTACTCACATTTGATCCAATACTCGTCGAAAAGGTACGATATCAGCCTATAAGTTATTGACACAAATTTATTAGATGTTTTTAGAAATTTCATAAAGTTAGAAAAATGTAACGTTGGTCCAAGAATTTGTCCTTGGGGAACTCCAATTTTAAATGGTGATTAATCGTTATTATTTAATTAATGATTTCACAATTTAACTAAGTATCATAAATTGTTGTATAAAAGTCAATTCTAGTCTTATTTATATTACTAAAGGCGTCCTAACTATTTTTTTATCATGCTGCAGAGTATCGAATGCCTTTGATAAATCTTAAAACACTAACTTTTACAACAATGCTATTTCTACCTTTTTGCACATTTCAGGTAGCTACTCTCCTGTACGAAGTGATGCAAGATAATCCTGAAATTTCGAAACTATATTTGACTGGAGTATTTTACTTCATGTTGCTATACACAGGATCAAACTTGTTACCCATCGCTAGGTTCCTTAGATTGACTCATATGAAACAAGCATTCAGGGCTGACCAGGTTTGTGACATTTTTCCCTCTATTCTCATGTTGTGTAAATTGTATGTTATTGAAATAAAGTTCAAAATGCAATGAAATTGTATTTTTTTTACTTAACGATATTTTTAACCATAAATATAATATTTTTCTGTCTGTAGTCGAGTTCAGATATAATGCAGAGGTCGATATTAGGCCAGTTACTGCCAGAAGCGATGGTTTGTTACTTAGAAAACCACGGCGCTGAGAAATTCGCGCAGATCTTCCTCGGAGAGTGGGACACGCCTGAGGCTATATGGAACTCTGAAATGAGGTTTGTAGCTATATCTCGTGTTGTAATGTTTTCATTGGCAAAAGTATGTGTGTTTAATAAATCAGAAGTGAACTGACTGCTTTTGAATTAGGTTTACTAAGATTTTTCTCAAAACATCAATATGTGATGAGTATCTAAAAATACATAATGTTCAGAATCATCTCAGTTCTAAAAATGATACATTAACGCTGTATAAAACTAATGAGTATTTGAGACAAATCTTATTGCTTTTTGAATTTACTACAACACTTATTAAAATCAGTACAATACTGCTTCAAGGCCTAAAGCTTTTTGTTTCAAAACAAATTAATTTACTATAATCTCTCTATTGCCAGACGGATGCTAATAATGAAGGTATCAGCCCACATCGGAGAGTTCACCCCCCGGCTCCGCGCGCACGTGGCGGCCCGCTACCCGTACCTCGCCATCCCCGCGGTCTGCTACCCACAGCTACAACACGAACTGTTCTGCAACATGTTTTATCTGCGACATCTCTGTGATACTCAGAAGTTCCCCGATTGGCCTATTCCTGATCCTGTGAGTAGCATTTCAATATTTTAAAAACTCGAATGTCATTTCTCTTTTTTTTCCCAGATATTAAAATAATTCAGTCTTTGTATTGCTTTTACGTGATAATAAGCAGTATTGTAATAGATGGTAGTCTAAAACTTCAGTAACGGGTGCCACAGTCACGTTAGTCAATAATGACGACTAATATTTACCCTTTTACCCCTTGTATGCCGGGGACGTACATATACGCGAGACACAATGTGTATTCTATTATGTTTCATATACCGATTGATAAGGGGTTAAAGGACCTATGCTGATTTAATCTGTAATTTTATTTACATACTTTGTATACACTAAAAGAAACTTAAAACATCTAATGAATTATTTTCTACCATCTAGGTTGGCCTTCTAAAAGACGTATTAGAAGCGTGGCGACGTGAAGTAGAGAAAAACCGCCTTCAATGACAGCGGCCGAGGCGTACGCCGCCCTGGGCCTGACTACTGGACAACATGACGAGGCCGCAGTGCGCAAAGCTTACTATAGACTTGCGCAACAATACCATCCTGATAAAAATCCTGAAGGACGGGTTAGTTATAATTTTTTTTAGAGATATATATCATACTAGCTACTTTCACGCGGTTTCACACGCTCTGCTCAGCTCCTATTGGTCGTAGCGTGATGTTTTATAGCCTATAGCCATCCTCGATAAATGCGCTATCCAACACAAAAAGAATTATTCAAATCAGACTTGTAGTTACGGAGATTTGCGCGTTCAAACAAACAAACAAACAAAAAACGAACTCTTCCGCTTTATATAATAGTATAAGAAGTATAAGATATATGTAGTATGTGTGAATAGGAGACTTGTATAATACTTAGCATATATTGCGATTTCAGCGATACCGCTGGAATCAATTAAAAATAAATTTTTGCGCAATCATGCGCAACTTATACTTTGTTGCGTGACTTATGGGTAGTATTTTTTCAACATTTAATAAATTACGTAATAGTCAAAAAGAGCTGCGATTTCAGTAGTAGTCAAATAAAAATACTTTTAATTCATTAAAACTGTTTACATATAATCAGTTGAACGTGTCATGTAATTATGAATATTTTTTATAGGATCGCTTTGAAGCTGTAAACCAAGCCTATGAGTTTCTATGCAGTCGTAACGTCTGGACCGGTGACGGACCTAACACCAACAATATTGTTCTCATACTCAGAACACAGACTATACTCTTCCAGAGATACTCTGAAGGTAAGACTTTGTAATATTTGTTTTGCCTCGAGGGCATATACAGTACTTGAATGTTGAGGTACGCTCGGCCGCACTAGGGCGGAACCGCGACGATCTTTAACAGCGCAAGTTTATTAAAAAGTAAAACGAGTAATGCAACGTGGTTAAAACCCGCCCCATTTCCACTAGTGCCACCAAGGTGATATTTGTTTAAAAGTAATTGTTTTTCTGCCTCTTTGGCCGAGTGGGCGCAAGTGCGACTGCTGGTCAAGAGGTCTTGGGTTCGATTCCCGGGTCGGGCAAAGTATTACTGGGTTTTTTTAAATCTCCGTAGTAACACGGAGTCTGGAAATGTGCCCGGTATATGGCAATAGGATCACCCCCTATTACATGGGACTCATAACATAAATAGAGAAAAGTGGGTGTTACATTGTACAGTGGTATTAAGTGCCGTAATGTGCACCTCTACCTAACCTTGCGGGGATAAAAGGCGTAATGTTATGATATTGTTTTTCAATTTTCAATGCTGAATGAATGAAATTATTAAATAAATCTTTAGATGTTTATTTAAGTAAAATTGGGGGTTTACTCGCGCAAACTTTTAGATGGCTCGATTGGTTTGCGCTGTGGAGCGGGGTTGGTAACGAGTGTTGTGTGCAGTGCTGGCGCCGTACAAGTACGCGGGGTACGGGGCGCTGCTGCGCACGGCGCGGCTGGAGGCGGCGGCCGAGCAGCTGTTCGCGGAGCGCGACGCCGCGCCGCTGCTGCCCGCCGCCTGCGAGCTCGCGCACGCCACCGTGCGCTGCTCCGCGCTCAACGCGGAGGAACTGCGCCGCGAGGGGGGCCTGCAGGTACTACGCACGCATTACACTCTTATACTCGCACCACTTGTACTCGGTCACTCCGTACATTCACTTGTAGTGAAGATGAAGGTGATGTAGTGTAGAGAAAGTTTCACCCAGTTGCACTAAGTAGTAGTTTATTGCAATTAAATTACAATATGAATGAAAGGCAATTATTTCTCTTAGTTGTTGATAGCTACCAAGTTATAAGTTGACTATATTTTATTTCGTAATTCGAACCAAGTTACCATAATCGAATACCGCCTTATGGATATGTAACTGTTATCAATATGAAAAAAAAACCGCATACCCTAAATTGGGAAAACCTCTAATTAAAAAAAATTATGTTGCATTGCCTGTATTCTTCAGATCGTCCAAATTATGTAGCTTCTTAAAATATTTCCTTCAGTAAGCACTTTGGTCACTGTGAAAACCGTATATAAATACGTCGCGAAAACGTTTTTAAAGATATAATGTAAGTAATGTATAATGTGTAATGTAATGTAATGTAATAATAAATTATTATTATTATAGCAACGGAAAGTTGCTGCGCTGACTAAGAGAAGTGTTGTTTTATGGATTTGCATTTCTTATGAATGTCATAATTTTATCTACGTCTTTACCTAATAACCAGGTCCTCCACGAAGCCATGTCTCGCTGCGTCCCAGTACTGTCGAGCGCGCGTGGCCCGGCCGATATATCTGCGCAGGTATGTGCGCACGTGGCGCGCTGCTTCGCCGTGGCCGCGACCTTCCCCGCCTGCCGCGCTGTCTGTGCTGAGATGCCGCAACTATGCGTCGATCTAGTACCACTGCTCAAGAGACCTGTAAGTATTGTTTTTGTAGTATTTTTAAGATTTTTATTTCAAGTTGGGAGTTAGTTTATTGTTCTTTTTCAACATTATCCCTAATTAATATCATTATATTATCATACCAGTCGTTTTAGATTCGTTTTCGTTTCCATATATCTACTTTTAACGTGGGAAATCGTTATGATGACTAATCGACTATTTTAGAGTTTGATGAAGATAGAAAATGTTCCTGAGTCCGAAATTAAGATTATTGGCGATATAATCTTTCACTCCTTTCAAGAAAATTGCGACCATTAACTTTTATTTTTTATTTTACATTCTCTTCATATACCATAATTTCTCAACCACATCATCATCATCATCATCAGCCCGTGTTCATCCACTGCTGGACATAAGCCTTTCCAACGGCACATCACTGAGCTGATCTTCAGCTCTTCTCATCCAACCACTGCCAGCCACCTTGCGGCGCTCCCAACCATAAGTTAGAGAATGTGTTGTTCCGTAGAACCTGGGCGAGACGGCGTGCGCGGGCGCGGCGTGCGCGGGCGCGCTGGCGGCGGAGGCGGGCTGCCGCGCGCAGCTGGCGCGGGCGGGCGTGCTGCAGGCGCTGCTGCCCGCCGCGCTGCGGTACGACTACACGCTCACAGAGTCCGGGCTCGACACCGACACGCAGCTCAGCAAACAGGTCACTTGTACATTATGGACCGCGGTTTTCTTTATAAACAAACTTGTATCCTAACTTTTATCCCTATTTTTTTTAATCTTGATGGTCACTGATAGTTAACCACCTTTTCTTAAAAATTCATTTTTAGAAGTATGAAGAAGAATTTTTGAAGTAAACCCATGCAAATCTGTTTGCATTGGTTTTTAAGCATTTCAGTATAATTAAATAAAATATATGCATAACCAGTTAAAAGTGAAAACTAAAAGAATTAAACCTACTTTTGAACCACACTTGTTCATTAATATGATTTCATTAGGAACATAATATTTTGGACATGTGGTAGCTAATGTGTAACCCGTAAAAGTCCCCAAGTTAACTTAAGAAATTTCATCTCGCCATCTTCATCTCGCCATCTTCATCTCGCCATCTTCATCTCGCCATCTTTTTATGATCCTATTTTTAACAAAAAATATTATATTGACAATAGAACAAGTAAGAACAAATTCTTATATTGTAAAGGGTTCACAACTACTGTTAATAACTTGTTTAATGTTTCACTGCTGGGAACTATCCTTTTACCTCGACTAGTTTCAACTGCTGCTACTCTGATACGTGTAATTACACGAGTAAGCCGAAAAACATAATAATTAATATAATATGACTTACGAACGTTATAACTTATAATATAAATATCCTTTCACCCATGAAAAACGCAAAAAACACTAAATTTTTTCAAGTCTCTTAATAAACTCCATAAATATCCATATTGTCGCAGGAGGTAGCCAATCAACTAGCGAAGCAGTGCATAGTAGCGCTAGCGGCGATGTACGGGCCCCACACTACTGCGTCACCAATGGACGAGAACATTGAGAACTCCTTACATTTGTTACTCACGCCCTATCTATGTGGGAGACTCGCGGAACCTGATCAACATGAGGTATGTTCAGATTTTTTTTTTTCAAATAGTCGCACTGTTGTATATGAAAACTATTTATGTGCTATAAAACTATACATTTCTACAACTATATATTTCTTTACTCGTTTAGCTTATTTAGTGTTTGTCCAGTATTTTTTTGCTTCATAGTAGGTACAATTTTCAGACATATTCGTTCATTTTTTTTTACAATTTTGTAAGATAAAATAATAATTTCTGTACACCTTAGGAAAGATGACAAACTAGCTCACTGTTTTTGCCTGACATTTGCAACACCAAACATATTTTCTCCATTTAAAAACACTAAAAAGAACCACGCAACAAACCCATCTTTAAAACTTACCTTATTTAACCACACCGTTTCTTATCCACAGCTCCTAAAAACCTTAACATCGAATTGGCGCACGCCATACCTAGTTTGGGACAACAGTACTCGCGCAGAACTGAAGGACGTGCTGCGCAAATCACGCCCTCTGATGGAGGACGAAGGACCTATCATAGAGCCCTTTACATACTCCGCTCATGAAGGACTTGTGTCGGTCGGAGGGGTGTACATAGACATCTATAATGAACAGCCTGACTTCCCTATTGAGGTAAGATTTAGATAGTTTCAATGGTTTTAGTGTTTTGTTATGTTTATGAAACATATGGTGTTTTGTTAGGAATATATTATTATAATTCAACAATTTTGTATTTATCTGGTATCGATATTTCTTTATTATTTTTTTGATATGGCGTCAACTTGCAGTTAGTGCAATTTTGCGCAATAATCTTCAAATAATGTTGATTGAAATACCTACCATTTTTTATTTATTTATGTGTTCTTTATATTATTCCTTTAGCGCAATATTACACAGCAAATTGACCTCATAATCTTGATGATTACAATTTATTTAAATCATGTGATCAACAATTTTCATTTTATTTTTCCCAGAATCCACAGCAATTCATTCTGGAACTACTGAAGTTCATTCAGGAAGAGACACAAAACGACATGACTGGGGACAGAGTGCAACATGTAACGTATGCATTGACTGCACTTGCTAATGTTATCATCAAGAACCCGGGTAAGTTCTACCTATATCAGTTTCTAATCATTTCTGGATACAATGAAAAATTGTGAGGTCGAAACCAAAGTTGTAGGTATTGTACAATATTTTTTGTGCTAATGGTTCGACAAATGGTATAAAGCATGTTAAAAAATGTGGATCCTATTTGTGATCTAATTAAACACCATTTGGTACGAAAGAAGTAGACATAACGGATATAAATGGTACCGTCGGTAGAGGGCTCTCTAGACACGGACATTTAGCGACCAGATTGGCGATATATTAAAGAAGGGCCGAATTAAAAGTACCCTCAACCGACGAGCATGCATAAGAAGACTGATAATAATGGACGTTTATTCTTAGGTACGGAGATCCAATGCATCGGTCAGTTCGGCCTGATCTTCGGGTTACTGTCAGCTCGAGCTCACCCCCAGCTACAGGAAGGAGCCCTCCGAGTAGTGGGCAGCGCCGGGGCGCGGCGCGAGTGTGTGGAGGACGTGGCGGCCAGTGCCGTGCTGGGACATCTGCTCGCGCTGCTGGCCGAGCGCCCGCCGCGCCCGGCTACATTGACTGCACTCGCTGCTCTACTCGCTAATACTGCTATTGTTAGGGAGGCTCTTAACAAAGGTATGTTATGATGTAGCTAGATATTCTGTTTCGGTTACTTAAGCTTGTTGTGTTATGTCAATTTTGCGCAATAGAAACTGTTAGCGCAATAACGATTACAATTTAAGCATAAAAAGACATAAAAAATTGCGTGATTGTTAAGCAGAAAAAAAATATAGCGTAATTATTGCGCATATGAAATATTTGCGCAGTCGTTGCGCAAATCAAATATAAATTGCGCACTACGAAATTTAATGAAGGTTTCTTATATAAACATGTTGTTCTTAACGTCTAATGATTATTATCTTTGTGTTCACAGGTGCTGTGATATACTTGTTAGATCTGTTCTGCAATAGTAAGCTGCCTGAGACGAGAGAGGCGGCAGTCGAACTGCTAGCCAGAATGATGTCAGACAAATTACATGGACCAAAGGTACAATAGTTATGAAAATATTTTCTTCTAACGCATATATTATTTCTTATTGGATTTTTTACCATTATTTGACTTACATGAAGTTTAACACATTTTTGTAGATCCTTTCTGTAACGCCTAGCTTCACTGACAGACAACGGACAGACAATTAAATTTTTGACATTTCAAAAGTGCCAAATTAAGGATGAATTGAAATAAATGCTTTGACTCTGACAATTTTGCCCTTAAGAATATTTAAATAAAAATAACTGCTAGACTTTCAGCACAAATATGACCTTAATTTCAGTTTCAAGTATAAATTATCGTAATTTACTTCTTATTGAAAATAATAACGAATAATTAATCATACATTAAAAATAAACATCCATTAAAAATTAATCATTAATTAAAAACAATTATATATTAAAAAAATCATCCATTAAAAAAACCATCGATAAAAAAAAATCATCCATTAAAACTTAATCATCCATTCAAAAATATTCATCCATGATCTCTCTACTTCCCACTAGGTCCGTCTAACAATATCTCGTTACATTCCGGGCGTATTTGCGGAAGCGATGCGCGAGTCTAGTGCGTCGAATGCGGTACACATGTTCGATGCTCAGCACGAACACCCTGAGCTCGTGTGGACTGATGATACGAGGCGTAGACTTGCTACACACATCGCGCAGCTGAGAGACAGGTTAGTAAAGTGATATTTTTACTTGAAATTTTGTTACTGGCAATACATTTTACAATTTCATAAACGTGCAACATTACTTGCTCATTTTTTAAATTGTAAGGTGTTACCAACATTGGCCTAAGTTGAACTTAACATACTACTTACTCCGTTTGTTGAGCGACCATATCTTGTACTCTGATATCAATTTTAACCCTAATAATATTTTCTGTTCAATAATTTGATATAAAAAAGGGTAATTCACAATTCACAACTCACAAAAGTAGTAGCACCCTGACATTTTATAGTCCCGAACAAACATTTAATGAGAGACTTGAACTAAAATAAAACGTAGTTTATTTACTTCTAAATACTTTTTTGTTTAGACACCAATCAGACCAGCTTCGTTCTCCAAACGCGGCGTTCGAGGACCGGGAAACATTAGAACGCGCGGCCACCGGCGAGCAAACATGGGCGCCGCCTGGCGAGGTCGTGGTGGACGGGGTCTATCTCAAGTTGTATCTACAGAACCCACACTGGAACCTGCGGAGCCCTAAACGGTTCCTTCAGGAGCTATTGACTGAAACCATCGCTGCAGTGAATAAGGATTCGTCAGAGGTATGTTTTTGAATATGTCATGTTGACTTTGATGTTTGTTTGTTTTGAAATATGACTTAAATGTTAACGTGGATATAAAACTATATGATTTCGTTTTTAACTGATTACATTGAGTAGACACACCGAAATAGGTACAGGAAAAGAGATATTGCAAAAATATTGTTGTTTTTGGCTGACATTTTTCCAAAATGGCGGCGCGAGCGGCGCACGTACATGTGAAATGGAAATACAAATGTATGTTGCCAATTTTCAAAACTCCCGAAATACATTCCAGAGAACTACTGTTCGAAACTACTGTACTGTATCGTTCGAAAGTGCCTTATATTGGACTAATGGGTGCTACCGTACTGGTGCTTGTCGCGGAGAATTTGACGGGTTACCGGGGCTTAGGCTCGACGTGCAGGAGAAGGAACGGGGTGGTTTTTAGTCAGTAAGTGTCTGACACTTCCTCCCGCCTCACCCAGGCGGGAGCAGTCATTCGATGATTTTCCCCTCTTAAAAAAGACCGTATTGGTGCTTACCAGATGGCGCTAGTGTAAACCTCTTCTTCTTTGTCCAATAGAAAATTAGCTAGTGTCACACCATTGGGGGTTCTTATTTGACAGCTGCTGTGATTGGACAAAAACACCTCTTAGTACATTTGCGCCATCTGGTGAGCAAGACAACGGTATCCCCCATTGAAATAATGATTTGACTTTACTATTTTCACCGCTACAGGGTAGTCGCGGCGAGACATGCGCGTTGGCCCTGAGCGCGGCACTACGCGCGCGGCCGGCACTCGGCGAGCTGTGCGCGCAACTGGGGGAGGTGCCGCGACTGGCGCGGCTACTCACGCACGCGCCCAGGCTGGCACTACCCGTACTAGCGGCCCTGGCGCCGACACAGGTAACATACAGTGCCGCGACTGGCGCGGCTACTCACGCACGCGCCCAGGCTGGCACTACCCGTACTAGCGGCCCTGGCGCCGACACAGGTAACATACAGTGCCGCGACTGGCGCGGCTACTCACGCACGCGCCCAGGCTGGCACTACCGTACTAGCGGCCCTGGCGCCGACACAGGTAACATACAGTGCCGCGACTGGCGCGGCTACTCACGCACGCGCCCAGGCTGGCACTACCCGTACTAGCGGCCCTGGCGCCGACACAGGTAACATACAGTGCCGCGACTGGCGCGGCTACTCACGCACGCCCAGGCTGGCACTACCCGTACTAGCGGCCTGGGCCGAAACAGGTAACATACAGTGCCGCGACTGGCGCGGCTACTCACGCACGCGCCCAGGCTGGCACTACCGTACTACGGCCCTGGCGCCGACACAGGTAACATACAGTGCCGCGACTGGCGCGGCTATCATCACGCACGCGCCCAGGCTGGCACTACCCGTACTAGCGGCCCTGGCGCCGACACAGGTAACATACAGTGCCGCGACTGGCGCGGCTACTCACGCACGCGCCCAGGCTGGCACTACCCGTACTAGCGGCCCTGGCGCCCACACAGGTAACATACAGTGCCGCGACTGGCGCGGCTACTCACGCACGCGCCCAGGCTGGCACTACCCGTACTAGCGGCCCTGGCGCCGACACAGGTAACATACAGTGCCGCGACTGGCGCGGCTACTCACGCACGCGCCAGGCTGGCACTTACCCGTACTAGCGGCCCTGGCGCCGACACAGGTAACATACAGTGCCGCGACTGGCGCGGCTACTCACGCACGCGCCCAGGCTGGCACTACCGTACTAGCGGCCCTGGCGCCGACACAGGTAACATACAGTGCCGCGACTGGCGCGGCTACTCACGCACGCGCCAGGCTGGCACTACCCGTACTAGCGGCCTGGCGCCCACACAGGTAACATACAGTGCCGCGACTGGCGCGGCTACTCACGCACGCGCCCAGGCTGGCACTACCCGTACTAGCGGCCCTGGCGCCCACACAGGTAAACATACAGTGCGCGACTGGCGCGGCTACTCACGCACGCGCCCAGGCTGGCACTACCCGTACTAGCGGCCCTGGCGCCGACACAGGTAACATACAGTGCCGCGACTGGCGCGGCTACTCACGCACGCGCCCAGGCTGGCACTACCCGTACTAGCGGCCCTGGCGCCGACACAGGTAACATACAGTGCCGCGACTGGCGCGGCTACTCACGCACGCGCCCAGGCTGGCACTACCCGTTACTAGCGGCCCTGGCGGACGCCGACACAGGTAAATACAGTGCGCGACTGGCGCGGCTACTCACGCACGCGCCAGGCTGGCATACCCGTACTAGCGGCCCTGGCGCCGACACAGGTAACATACAGTGCCGCGACTGGCGCGGCTACTCACGCAGCGCCCAGGCTGGCACTACCCGTACTAGCGGCCTGGCGCCGACAAGGTAACATACAGTGCCGCGACTGGCGCGGCTACTCACGCACGCGCCCAGGCTGGCACTACCGATAGCGGCCCTGGCGCCGACACAGGTAACATACAGTGCCGCGACTGGCGCGGCTACTCACGCACGCGCCCAGGCTGGCACTACCCGTACTTTAAACTAGACATACATACTAGACACAAATATAATGAACGGCAAAACTATACTTACTATTTGCTGGCAACATAATACACCTATCTTTTATGTATTCTGCAGGCATGTGTAGTGGCGCTATCCCAGACGGACGTGATGTCCGGCATGAAGACCGCAGTGCAGTCGTGCAAGGAGTCGGTGGGCTGTGCGTGTGAGGCCCTCGCACTTATATTCTCCAGCAACGCCAATACTGACCGATTGGTGTTACAGGTCTGTTATATTTCTTTACATTCTATTTTGGTAATTCAAATGGTTTAATATCATAAAATTTGGTGAAAGTTATGCATGGCTTTTAGTATAATAATGTTTAGATTGCGTTTGTAACATTTGAAGCCCCAATAAAATTTATCTTGTGTATATTTCGGTACATTGCTGTGTCATAATGATTGTTTTCATAATTCGATCTTATACAATAACTTTTACTACCTGCGACTTAAACAATCGCTGAAATTAATAAATGTTAACACAAAAATATCCACAGGCACTGGAAACAGATCTAATAGGCGAGCTCCTCTCTCTCCTGGAGACTCGCTTGGACGGCGCGACGGCGGCGCAGTTGGTGCGCGCGCTGAAGGCCATGTGTCGGTCGGCGCTGCACGGGGAGCGCGTCAAGGCCGTGCTGGCGCGCTCCGCCGTCTGGGACCACTACAGCGCGCAGAGACACGACCTCTTCATCACTGCCGCGCCGCAGAATAACTTACTCACTGGTACGATTAGGATTCAGTAATAAATAACTAGCACATAACCAATTGTCGCCATTACTGTGCTAAGACCATTCTTAAGAAACCTATATGCGTTGATGAAAATCTGTTTGAAAGTTTTTTAAATTATTGCCTTACTGACAAACAAAAGGGATTATTCTATAATCTTTTGACGTTTCAAAAGTACCTGTGTATGATTTATTCAAAATAAATACTTTAACTTGAGTTTGACAAAAAAATACAGACACGCGATTGGACGATTGTTTTTTATAAAACATGAATAAGAGTTACAGTTCATGCTTTTGAAGAGAAATAAGTAGGTATTTATATGACTTTGGGAGCATGGAAGTACTCCAATGCAGGATATTTTTTATCATTAAAAACATTATCTTTTCCTCCACAGGCGCTCCTCACACGGCGGGCTACCTGACGGCGCCGCCATCGAGTATCCCGGCACAGCCGCCCCCCATCGACTGACCACGCAGCCCCGCGCTACATGCTATTAGTACTCGCAGTACTCGCAGTACTCTCCCCTGCCTCACTACAAACACACGCGTGTTTCTGAAACAACAGTACTGCTGACTAGACAAACGCTCAAGTAAGTCTTCTATAGAATCTCTTTTAACTGAACTAATTCCTTCGAAAAGTTAAGGCGAGGAAAACTTTTGAGGGCAAATCCTCCGCTATCGCGGCCGTGAGCGTTCAACGTGTGAATAAGATTCATAATGATTTTATTAGTGAAATTATAGTTCTACAAATGAAAAATACTTTAGATCAAAGTTCAGTCGTACACGCCTTTCAGGAACAAGCAGTGTTAGCGAATTTGTCTTGCCGTACTCCGCGGCTTGTCACTATGATTTCAATCAGATATCGTAACATTTCTATGTATTATAGCAATACTTATATTACGTTTAAAGTTTAAATTCGCATGAAATTGTCAGTCCATGTAAATTACGTTCAGCCATCGAATATAGTACTAACAAGACAAATTCAATTGTACTTATGTAAAAATAGTTAAGTTGCTGCTCTATATTTTCTAAGTGGTTTGTCGATGTCTCATTGTAAATTTATAGTATATTAATAATACAATATCCGACCAGTGTGTGGTACGCTCGAAGTATTAACAGCCAAAGTTATGTGTATGTAATTCTGAGGCCTTACTACGAATTTGTCTTATGTTTAAAGTAATCAAAACGAAACCGCATTCGGCGCTCTGATTGGTAAGTTCATTGTAGCCGGCCAATAAGAGCGCAGAATGCGGTCTCATTACCATTACTTTAAACGAAAAATAAACTCGTATTAAGGCCTATGTTCGTCTAAAATAGAATGTGTATAATCGTTTGATCTCTAACGAAAGGCAAATATTGTTTACATCATTCCTAATTACGTTAGCGACATAGGTTTTTATAGGATTCGCACTTTTTTATGAAATGTTAGATTAGTGAATATTACGAAAGATATCGCACTTTGAATAGTGCTAAACAAATAATTATTATTTGCTATTAAATATAAATGATACTCTATATTGCCGGCGATTTATGTATGTACCAATGATAATTGTGATTTTATGGCAATATTAACTTAGCAATTGCAATAATTTGATGACGTACAGTCATATTACCAAGTGATATATACGTGTGTTCATTTCCTGGATTCCACATCAAAACAGATCGTCGGGTAAAATAACTATTAACGTTTTAATGTATGATATTCATGTCAATAACCTAATAGAATTCGCACTTTTTTACGGAAATAGTATTTAAATATTTATATGTATGTATGTTTGTATGTATGTATGTATGTAGCTAATAATCTGTGCGTACATGACATAGTTCACTAGTACAGTTTTTATATGTGTATTCGCGACATATAAAGGCTTTCTTGCCATGTTTAGTTATATTGAGACTGAAAATCAATTAATAAATCATTTGAATTTTGGCACTAAAATATTTTTGTATACGAAGTCTTTGAGGCTTTTAGTAAAACAATACATCATTTTTTTTTCAAATTATCATTATAAAATTGCAATTTATTTCATGTATTTTAGATTTATTTTTACATTTCTTTTGAAGACCCGTTGTAAGGGATTTAAAACAGTTTTTTTATTTGATAAATTCAATATTAGATAACTTGTAGCTTTCTAACAAACTGATCATTTAATAAAATATTCTGTAAGTAGCTTTTTCAAAATATAATTATGTGTTAACATCAAAATTATGTGTGATATTGTAAAGGAAATTAAAATGTTTGGTTTAGTCATATCATAGAGTTTTAAGGCGTTTATACTTTATGGAAATTATGATGCTCTTATGTTCGCTCATTGAGTACGTCCTAATAAATAATATGTATTATAGCTATATAATATGAGTGAGTACCAACTACTGCGATATGTTGATAGCTAACGTACGCTGGTATATGATTTTTAATATTATGGTTTGTTTGTTTGCCTCTGTACAAAGCTTTATCGTTTTATTTTTTAATGTGCCAGTAGTGGAAATAGTCGATAAATTGTGATAGTTGGTACATCACTAGTATCGATAATAAAGGAATGTGATTGGTCGTGATGAGTGTGGTCTGTATTATTACTTTTATAATAATGTGTATTGGATTACAAAAGTCGTGTTGGCAAGCTTTAAGTGGGTGGTACAGGGCACACGCATCACGAAGGATGTATCGAAGGGCACCATGATGGAAAAGCGAGGTGTGATCATATGGATATTTTTATATCTAGAGATAAGTTATATTGCTGTAAAATATACGAAGTTAATATATCAATCTATCTAATGTTTTATTTATTTATTCTCCCCTTATAGGTTAATTTTCAAATCACAGTATGGTTGTACCTTCATTATTTTGGGGATCGAACTGAAGTTTTGTAATTAAAAAGACATATTTCTTCACACATTTTTAATGTGTACTGTCAGTGCTTTATTTATTACTAATATAACGTAATATTTAAGTACAAATATCAATACTTATTTACAAAACTAGTCCATTCAAATTACTTTAAGTAAAATACATAGCTCAGAACATTACTCTTACAAAGCATCTTTACAAGAAATACTTTTCTATACAAAACTATAGTATTTGTACATACATTATCTTAATTACTAAGCACACAAATTAGTCAACTATAAAAAATTTGAACTTATAGTCCAATTCAACATATGCATAGCAGAAAATATACATTGTTCATATTATTATATTTATTGTCATGGTATTCTTTAAGGAAGGCGTCAAATTAAATTTTAGACACAATTATGTTTCAATACTCAAAAAATCAACATTTTACACACGTTTACAGATACGTACATTAAACATATTACACACATTTACACAGACCTAAAAGGGTATGCTTATTTATTCAAAATTCTATCTTATATAGCTACACTTATGTATCACAGCACAACACAGCAAGTAAACACATTAATGTTATGTACAGATCAAATACATTTCATACAAATTAATATACCAAATGTTTATCATATTATAGCCCTCAAAGGATTATCGATAAATTCCTGGACTTTTTAATCTGTAACCTAAAATTTATGAAGTCACTTCTGGGTGAGGTTTTCATCTTATCGATAGCGTTTACGTTAGTTAAGATTTATATGGGATCGGCAAAGGATGTTTATGTGATTGAATAGGTGAAAAAAACTCGTGGTAGGCATTCTGTTTAAATATTCTAGTAAGGTTTGATCATACCATTGGGGCATGAATGTCTATGTCAAAAAGACAGGTACAAGGTATAAGTGTTTCTGTATTGGGAGTAAGTCAGGTTGCAGGCTGTGCACTGAGCGAGTCGGGCGGCGAGGTGTAGTGGTTGCTCTGCGGCGCCTTCAGGGGACGCTCGTACGTCTCGCCCCGGGACCAAGCGCGCTTGCCTCTGTGTACCATTAGAATTTAATAAATAAATAGAAATAAAGTGCACTACCTTTTCGATAGTGTTCGAAACATAACAAACATTTGAGTACTCTTATTATAACAAGGTTCATAATTTTTGCAATGTCCAGATGGCGCCTCTGTCGATTATGGACCTGACAGTCCAATCACTAACACCGTCAAAGATATCCTTACCCACGCGCATTAGACATCAAATAATTGGGTATTTGCCAACTAGTCGAATTCAGTTCTTTTTTCGAACAAAAACGACAATTTTCTCTGAACTTTTGTACGAGATTGTGTATTGTGACGTCACGTTTTTTTAGCGTAATACCACAGGTAATACAGCATTCTTATTTTTATTATTTGCTGTAAAAAATACTAAAATTAAGTTGGTCATAAAATAAATTAATGAAAGTGGGATTGTTTTTTAATATTTTAATGTATTGAACAGTCGAAATAATTTATTTTTGATTAAGGAAATTACCCAATTTGTCTAGAGACTTCAATATCTGTTACTTACCCTAGCAAAATATTCATCCACTCATCACAAAAATTCAAAATAATTGGAACTCACCTCATCAGCATTTTAATATATCGGTGATGTTTGGGCGTGGGGGGTGCGTCGTCTGCATCAATCTCTAATGATAAGTATTGGTTGGCACACGCACTGTTCAGTAGCTCGTCGAGTCGTTGGTGCAAGTCTGCGAACGTCGGCCTGTCGCGGGGGTGCGTGCGCCAACAGGATAGCATTATGTCGTACCTACGACCATTTAAAGAAAGGTAAGTATTGAAGAATGGTAAGTTAACATAAGTTTTCATTTTCTATTCTACGAGCAGTGCTTAACATGGTACTGCTCTGCATATAAAGGCTTTTTATATGTAGAGCATCCCATGGAATCTTGTCATGGAAGCTCTGCATACATTGCTGTAATCTACTTTAAGGCTCCAATCTCTTCCTTAGGTGTTCATCCCTATTACTACACTATGTAATGGCAAACACAATGTTTTAGTTTTCAAGTACTGTAATATAAAAGTATACTTACAGTTGCGGGCTGCAGTTATTAGGTTTGGGCATGCGGTACCCAGCTCGCAGAAGTCGCGGAAGTCGTGCAGCTGGCACTGCGGCGTATGGGGAGCCACCCACTGTCGCCACCTCCCATACCACCACGCCAAACGACCAGCTGGGACAAGTACAAGATATTTAGTTAAGTGTTTTGTCTTATCTCCACAAGTAATTCGTGTCTCCTGCGATTTCAATCTTGGTTTATGAAGAACTATGCTCTGCCAGTGGCTTTGCCCGTGTTCCCGTGGGATCAAAAGTAGCCTATGTGTTATTAGCCGGTAAAAATTTCATCCCGATACCTTTAGCCGTTTTGACGTGATTAAGTAACAAACATATAGGTACACAAAGACACAAACTCACAGACTTTCGAATTTATGATATTAGTAAGAATATCCCTTGTTATAGAAGACCTTGAGAGTTGAACTTTTCTCCAAGCTATAAATCTTGACATCAGAAGACAAAGCTTTACCTCTACCGAAAACGTCTACATTTTAGCAACATTCCTTCTATTACATGAATTATGCAGCTAATACTCACACATCACTCTGCGTGGTATATATCCTTCGCGTCAGTGACTCCAAAGCCATCCACCTGATGGGCATTTTTCCATTACCCTTCTGTTTGTACTGGTTCTCTTCATACACATCCCTTGAAAGACCAAAGTCTGCTATCTTCAAAGTCCTGTCTGCCGTCACCAGAATGTTCCTGGCTGCTAAATCTCTATGGACGACTCGATTGGCAGCTAGGAACTCCATACCCATCGCTATTTGCCGGCAGAAGGACAGAGGTCTAAAGCAGTCAGTTCCTTATCACAGATCTCTTGTAGCTCATACAGTTTGTTGACGACCAGCTTAGAGCTCTCCATCTGTGCTTTGCACTTGAACAAGTCGTTCCTGTAATCTGACACCTCTATGTTGTTGTTGTAATATTTCGCGTTACGTTTAGACAGCATAACGTCCCATGTGCACCTGGAAATAAATAGCATGAAAAATAACTCATAAATTGTCGACGACTTCTCACTTCGAATTAATTTCAAACGAAACCAAATAAAGAGCCAATGGATAAAATGTAATGTGGTCAGATCCTGTACCTCAAGTAACTGAGCAAGTCCCCCCGACTGCAATATTCTGCGATGATAAGTGGTCTCCTACCGCTGCAGCAGCCCACCAGGCTCACGAGGTGCGGGTGCACGCCCACGCTCTTCATCAGCTCCATCTCTGAACGAAATGATCTGATTTCCTCCAGCGATGGGAAGTCTATCATGAAAGAGAAAAATGATGTCTATTGCTTGCAATATGTTTGCAAATTTATTTATTCAAGTATTTGTTAATTGTTCGTTTTTCATTGACGTTTTGTAGAGGTAAATTAAACGGCGGTTAAATGAAAATAGTTTAGGAGTTCTTTTATTTATTTAATTTACATTATTGACATGGTTGTTTCTCGTCATTGCACCAGCTTTTACCTTTTAGCATCTTAACAGCGACGAGCAAGGAGTGCGGGGCGAGTGTAGCCCTGCGTACGACACCGAATGCTCCTTCTCCAATGACCTCGTGTAACACGAGCTTGTCTGCTCGCACCTCCCACCGGTCTTCTGTCTCGCTCCATACTTCTAGCACATCGGTTCGCCTTCTTTCAACGGTTTGTCGTCCTGCTGAGGCCGTTAATTGGGACATTATAGTATGTCTATGTGGTTTAGTTACATAGGTTAGGATCTAATGGTGAGCGACATTAGGAACAAAAGTTTGGTACTCTTTTTATCGGTAATAAATTTATGGAGATTTAAGATGATTGGTTAGGTTGATTGCACTTCTTGTTTTAGTTCTTTGGTCTCAAGGGTTAAGTGTAAAGGTCGAGACGAGATTTTGTGTAAGTTACCGGTTTGTAAGACGGCACAGGCAGGTGGTCCCTGCGTCGCCGGCACCGACACAGCAGCGCCAGCGCGGCGGCCGCAGCGCAGCCCGCGCCCACGGCCGCGACACCCGCCCCACCCGCTTGCTCCGCGCCGCGCGCTGCACCCGCAGTGTCTGGCCACGGTCAACACTATATCACGTTATTCTCATTCTATTACATCTTATATTTATGAACTGAGGTATTAAGTGGTCAAAGACCGTAAAAAGAGGTGGCTTCCCTAATCGGAAGCCATGAAAGAAACATTAAGTCTCTGATCTGAGGTCTGTAAGTAAGTTTATGCTCATATCAAAAGGTATTGTGTGTGATGCTTTTAGTATTGTAGCTGTAAGCTAGCGGCCATCATCAGGTGGCCCATACTTTTTGTTGTACTTTTTGCTAATTCTGGTATCAGAAATTATTTGTTCAGTAAGGAAAGTTCTAGTTTCTGTTGTCTATTGTGCAGTGGGCGTAAATAAAGTGTGTACCTACTCTTTTCTATACATAATTTGTAAAGTGATTGATATAGCTCTTTACGGTACAGATAAAACGAAAAGTGTTTGGATATTATATCAATCTGGATTGTAAAATATTCGAGTGTAGCCAAATGGTTTATGATAAGTTTATCATTGTGGTTTAGTGTTTTAGAACATGCTTTCTGAGATTTCACTTTATTGTCGTCTATTCTCATTCAATAATGGTCTTTAGCAAGTTCAGTATTACTTTCCTTATAACAGTGCCTGACTTCTTTCATTTTTATCGCGCTTTTAAAAAACTGCAGCTAAGTCTCATTTACCAACTATATTGTAAGACAGTATTGAATGTGTTACATCCAAATACTGAAAGGCTACTCAATTTTAAGTTGTACTTAAATATTGTGCCATCTCTGTCGTTTTACAAAGAATTTGTAGTGACAGAACTATACTTAAGCACGACTTCAAACTGAGTAACGTTGCAGTATTCGGGCATTAGATTCTTATTGTCAGGATAGGTATTTAACATTTATATGGTCGTTTTGTTTCATACTTTTATTGGTGGTAGGTAGGCGAGCAGACGGATCACCTGATGGTCACCTGGAACACCAGAGGCGTTACAAGTGCGTTACCGGCCTTTTGGGGATTAGGAGTTTGAGGATCGTTGGGGATTCAGGGATTGGGGAGATTGGGGAAGGGAAGGGGGCCTCCGGTGACCACACTCACACGACGAAGCAAGCGTTGCTTCACGTCGGTTTTCTGTAAGGCTGTGGTATTACTCCGGTCGAGCCGGCCCATTCGTGCCGAAGCATGGCTCTCCCACACTATCTTTGCTTGCAGGAACTTCCACGTGTATAAGAGTGCTCTCTCAGTCATTTCTGTTTTATTTGTGTTTGTGGTGAATAGGGAGTAGTAAGTACGAATAATGCGTCAAAAATCAGTGGTGATACTTTATTTTATTATCATGTGTAGGATGAATAAAAATGCAGACGAAGGAATTGTGAAGTTTGATTTTATTATTGTTATCAGGTTTCTTGTATAGCTGCAGTTACTGTCTTGATGCTGTGAGTAGATGAAGGAAAAGTGTTGCTTTGAGATTATTTGTCAGCCGTTCTGTTAGGAGTGTCAGCATTAGTGAAGTGTTTTTGAAGATTTTACAAGTTTACAATCCGCCTGATGGGAAAAACCGGAAGTCTACATCAGTGGAGACTTTTAGTAGGATCTACACACCCGGTCCCTAAGGGAGTGTTGCTTGTTGCTGTTCAATGTTCGTGATGGTCAGTATTCTTCGTCGTCGGTGTACTGCAGAGTGAACTTACCAGGGAACTGAGCTTGTCTGCTGGTGACAGCTGTGATGGTGCCCAGCTTGGACTTGATGCCCACGTCGTAAAAGCCCAAACCGCTGTTGTTCGTCACATTTCTAAACACTGCTTCTGTTGCATCCTGTAAAACAACATTTTGTGTAAGGAAAGAAGGAAAATATTTATTTTAGCTAAAACGTTTTATTGAGCTGTTTGGAAATTTTGTTTGGTTGAACTAGGTATAAAGTCAAGTTCACCAGCGGCTTCGCCGGCATTATCCGGATGGAAAGTATCCCTTGTATTAATTCAGACCGTCTAAACTGTCCGTGTCAAGTGTTACCTAAAACCGTTCTGTCTTGCTTGCTTGTTTTTTGTGTATAACATAAAATTTGTTATATAACTAACCCCAGGTAATATGAGTATCTGTATTTCCACTTCGTCGATCCATAGAGACACGTTGTAGGAGTCAGGGAGAACATCAGGCCTGGCCCAGCTCACGTGCACCTCCCAACTGTCGAAGTCGTCTTCTATCGCAACTATTGTGACATTTGTCGGCATTTCTGGCTCAATCGGTGCTGGAAAGCAAAAGTACCAAAAGTTAGTATCTAAGCGTGTTTCTTAATGTAAATATTTTTTACTTTTCATTATGAATTCTGCCGTAAAAACACGAGTGGTGTATGATTGGAAAATGACGCCACCATTTTTCTAATTGTAAAGCCATTATCTCCACCTATGGCAGGTACTTTAGGGATTGCCCTTGAAACCGCTGAAGAATTAACAGGTTACCAGGGTTGTGGTTCGAAGCAAGAATAGGAACGGGGATGTTTTTAGTGAGAAAGAGTCTAACACTCCCTCTCGCCTCACTTAAGGCGGGAGGAGTCATTGAATGATTTTCTCCCGTAATAAAAAAGGGGCTTAAAAATTTGGCTCAAACCTAGTTTAGAGCTGCTACTTAACCTGTGAATAATATCATTATCTTAATACTTAATAAGATACTTACAAAGCAAACAATCGCCAGAATAGCAGGAAGGCGTCCGATACGTCACTGTGGTGGTTCCGTACATGCCTACTACATTGATGATGCATTCATCGTCCACTGGCAGCTTGTCGAACACCACATAGGGCTCGCTGTCTTTACTGTTTGGCTAAAATTAATATGAAACTTTACAGACCACAAGCAACAATTTATTGATGCCCTGTGTTTTTAGACATTCGTATAACTTACCCAAATTTTCTTCTGCTTCAAATTGGACTTCTGGCAAGAGTTCACAACGTCAAAGCATACATCAGCATCTGTAAAAATCTTTCTTTAGTTTTTCCTTTCAATTTATGTGACTTATTTAAATTATAACCGTGGATGCAGAGTTCTTTTAACTATATAGTTAGGCTATTCTGTAACTGGCAATTTGAACTTACGAAGTGAGCTGTCGTATTGGTCGAGATTATTCTCACAACCAATGACACTTTAGTTCACTTCGATCTTCAGAATTGAAACTTACAGAATAGCCTCGCAGAGCTCGCATAACTGTTCAAGCTCAGAATTGGGTACTTGCCAACTAGTCGAATTCAATACTTTTTTCGAATTGTCAAAAACGACAGTAGTCTATGGATTTTGTACGAGATTTTGTTTTGTGACGTAACATTTTTTTAGGGTCAAACAACATACTTTTTTCTTAAAATTTTGCTGGGAAAATACCAAAATAAAATTTGGCATAAAATGAATTAATGAAAGTTTGATTATTCTTTAATATCTGATTGTATTGAACTGTCGAAATAATTTATTTTTTAATAAGGAAAATGCCCAATTATAATGGGTCCCGTACCTATCTTAAAACTAGTCGAGGTTTTTATTCAAACATTTCTCGTAGTTAACCGAACATCCTAAGTTCTTAGTCCTTAGTAATTCTCAAAACCTCTTACCTCCACTGATGTTCCACGTGAACCTTCCATCTAATACTGAAGGATCCGCATTAAGATGGAAGAACTTTTTAATTTCGTATGTTTTATTTACTTGAGTTATATTTCTGTCTTGTCGTGGAAACGTATCACCCCTTGTCCACATTACTGGTGATCCCTCTTTGAGTTTCGTACTCCATATCGTGTAGTTAACCTGTGGTGTTATGGGAATCTCTTCGAATTCCCTCCAAGGTTCTATAATACTGTGTTGTATCTGTAACAATTGAATAATAATCATTTTATAATACGACATTCTACCTACTACGAGTTCAGAGGAAAGTCTGCAGTGTTAAATCAGAAAAAGTCATAGTCAAAGCAGTTATTTCATTTTTGAAAAGTATACTTAATACACTCGGTATTGATAGCTTAGGTTGGTTTTCCGGTTTCATAAAACCTATTTTTGAAAAGGTATTAATTAAAATTCTACATTGGTTAATAATACCTATTATTGTTGTTTTAAGGAAAATAGGCACCCATTATGCGAACAGATTCGCACCAATAGTAGGTAGGCTTTTGTCCCCAAGAGGTCATGAATTTTATTCCTTTTCCTGGAAATAACTGTTCTTGCATCGATATAAATATACACTACGATGTGTATAAAACCACTTTCCCGCCCGCTTGTTATGTTATCTGCGAAACCCGCATTGACGTACGAGTGCGGATAAATTGAATGGATTCATTATGGTTACACAAATATGACGAATTATAGGTAGCTAGGGAAATTCCTTAGTTTTTACGCCATTAAGCTTTAACCCGTCGAGCGTCCGCGTTCCTTATGATCCAACGGGTGCACACGTGACATTTGGAGAAAGAAAGAAAGAAAATGCATTTTGGCACACGAAAACAAGGATCATTATAATAGAAATAAAACAAATCAGTCAAAATAAAAACAAAACATTAATAATAGATTTTATAAAAGGGAAAGCAGCATGGAGCATTTTTTCTTATGATCCACCGGGTGCTCATAAGAACGCTCGAGGGGTTAAAGACTTTAAAAATATCTTGTTTGTTGGCAGACTATCATAAAGAAGAAGTAAGAATTTTGCTACGGGACATAAACCGAAGAATCGTGGGCAACGGGACTAAAGACACTAAGACTAATGAGATCACGTAACAGGTGGGACTGAACCATACACCATGCACTATGTAGCTTGAACTTCGTAGGAACCATAAATGACACATTAGCAAATATAACCAATGCTGCACGGTCATAGTAAACAGCATTAAGCAGGTACAGAAAGACCCTATAGTGTGAATTCAATGATGTCATCTGCGAAAAATCCCTTCGTAAACGTTCTTACTTGGTACTAAATCTATATATCGTAGAATTTGAGTAGACTATTAGAGTAGGTATTTACAATAGGATAGATGACTAATTTTTATTTCAAGCCGTCTGGTAGATTATTCAAAAACACGAGACACGTATTTTTTACTTTCTTACGGAAACAAATACTGTCGACGATATTATGTATATAAAGAAATATCGCGTAAACGTCACTTTTGTGTACGTTATATACTGAAAATGCCAGCTCCCACTCCTAAACTTTGATTCGTGTTATCTAAATATTGTATATGATAATATAGAAAAATACGTGTCTAATACTTTACTTTTGATTTTGATACCCTGCCATCATCCCTATTGCATATATGCTAGGCTAGTAACATCTGCCAGCGGCTTCGCCCGCCTGCCCGTGGCATAAAAAGCAGCCTATGTGTTATTCAAGAACTTAATCTACTGTTCCAAATTTTATCTTGATCCCTTTAGCCGTTTATTCGAAAGAGAGTAATAAATAAATTTTATCGTCTCCTTTATTTTGAGGACAGGGTTTGGTGAGCGACATATGGAATAATGAATAATACCAGCGGGGTTATTATGACGACCTAAAGTCAGAATGGTTCCATTGAGGGAAAGAAACAGAGCTATAGAAATCGTCTAGCGAGATCTCGTTCCCTCAACGGAACCACTATGGCTTTTAGACGTCATAATACGCCACCTGGCCTAATGAGGATAGTCCTGAAATAAATACTTACATAATTACTGCCATTGTTCGGATGTGGCACTAACGCCACAAGCTGGAAGTACTCTGAAGGCTCTATCTGGAACCAGATGCTCTTGTTCCTCCAACATCGTATCTTGACGTGTGGTGATGATAACTGGATGCTTTGTTCTGGAGCTAGAATAGAAAACGACAGTATGAGAATTATTTCACATCATATAATATGACACTGATAGTAATTATGTTATTCAGAGTTCAGAATGCCAACCCACTATTTCATCGCACGCACCATCATTTTTGGGATACCCGCCTCTAGGAACGATGGTGTATTTGTGCAGTTTCTTATAACTTTGTGATAACTTTGGTGTTGTGTACTTAAATTATGGTGTCCGCTTACCATCAGTGCTAAAAAATCCCCAAAGAACTGTGATGTTGAAAACCCGTTAATAATTTTACGAAGTGAAAAATAAAAACTTCGGGTAACTTAGGATAAATAAAACTTTGATAAAGGTCAATTTTTGTCAGTTGTGTTTGCGAACTCCGAATTTTATGCGAAAGTAATTCCGATACTAACCCCAGTAGTTTTCCGTGCACGTGTCTACTGTCTGAAACAAACAAAAACGGGATTAAATTTAAAAACAAAAAACTCTGTTTGCTATCACTCCTGGGTAAACGACCTCTTCAAGCCTGAAGTAAAACAACCACGATTCACTATGTTAGGTCTGTGTATGACTTGTGATCTTTTCATTTCTCGAGTTAATATGAAATATTGTACAAAATGCAGCTATCAATAATTATAGTAAGTAGTAATTCAGTTAATTCAATAGAACCTAACTAATTCAATGGAATCTAACTAATGGACAAAAAATAACAGAATATAATGGAAAAGTACTATACTACATAGTATACTTACTATTCTTTCAGACAAAAAATAAAAAATATGAGTGCCTAGACCAGACGGATAAAAAATAAAGCGAATCAACGATTTATCAGTTTTTATAACCTTTACATAACGCTGAAGAAATCAATACGCATTAAAGGATTATTTTGCAAATTGAAGCGTCTAGCAAACTTCCGGAAGCGATTACTTACGTGGGAAACACGAATATATGTCATATTTTAACGTATTTAAGGTCTCTTTTTATAGAACAGGGTATGAAAGTGGAAGTGTTTGGGACGTAAAACGACACGTTCCAATATGCGCGGTTGAATCATTGCAGCGATGCACAGTTTGTCAACAAACACACAGAAATACCACAGAACGGCCAACCTGAGGGTATTATAGGAGATTCTAATTATAACTAATTAGACCATTGTTCATTGTATAAGAGGTCTCGCAAGTGCAAGTCTGAAAGTCGTCTTAATTAACCTAATTGTTTGCCGCATATTATTGGTGATATTTTCGAAAAAAAGCATCTATGATACAAACAATAATGTCGATTTCCCCAATCCTCGACTCCCTAATCCCCAAAAGGTCGGTAACGCACTTGTAAGCTTGTACCGCCTCTGGTGTTACATATGACATAATACGGCGCCGATTGCTTACCATCCGGTGATCTGTCCGCTCGTTTACCGACAATCCTATTCAAAAAATTTAATTAATTATTGAGATTGGGTAATCGTATCCATCACACACAATTCCTACGGTTATCGATATACAGCGTGCGTAAATTTCTCCTACAAAGACATAAACTACAGAGAAAGTACAACGTTTGTTGCATTTTCAATTATTGAAATAGTAGTTATTCATACAGGTCACACCGAAGCGACACGATGTAGATCATTTACCTACGGCACACGTTCGAGCCACGTCAGACCTGGTATATTAATGCATTTTAAGTAGTCTAGTTTTACAAAGGTTTTACTAAGCCATATCTCATTGCAGAGGTACCTACGCGTGATGATTAATTTGCATAATTATGTATATCTAGTACGGATTTGTTTATAATTCCCAGGTTTTATTAACTGTATGGTACTGTATTATTGCTGAAGTGGTATTTCCATTCATACCTTTCGCTTAGCATTCAGTTCATTTAATTTTAGTTTTAATGACTTCCACTTCCACCTGCAGGAATGCAAGCTATGCGTTCAATTACATTCTGAACTATTTCCGAGACAGAAACTAGAGAAGTCGCCCACAAGGCCACAATCCCCAGTTTCGGTATAACTGGACTATGCCACTGATTGGAATGACGTCCATCATTTTATTTAGGTGGTCGACCGCTGGACGTGTCTTTGGCTATCGTAATCTTGGGAATAAACCCGGTCGTACGACGTAGCCCCAGATGAATGAAAGAGAGGTGGATGTGGGACGTCTACTTGAACCAGTCAATTTGATGTTAAAGGAGACCATTACGTCTAACCTAGCCGTTGAAGGGATTATTTTTAACAATTCAATCAGATGGGTAAAAGATGATTAGAAAGTTTTCGCAATTAACAGAATACCGATTGCACAGGTCTTACGTTTTGAAACGTTATGATGTAGTATATTTCAAGACAATATTTTTCAGAAGATAAAATCAATAAATTAATTCCGAAAAGGAAAAACCAATGAACGCTTCAAGCAAGATTAGGAAAAATAGTCACTAAAAGCAATCAGATGGTGAAATACGATTTATCTTTGAAAGAGTGCTGATAATATCAATTCAGAGTCTCGTAGTATCACACACACCCTGATGCCTATTACAATTTGCGTCATTGCTACCGTCAATTGATTTGATAGTGAGTAGTGACAAAACAGAACATTCAAGTTCAAATCTTTCAGTGTCAATGCCGACAGAGTGCTATACGATAAGAAGATACTCTACAGGATGAGAAAGATGTACAGAGAATTATAGATGATAGTGGCAAACTTCAAGGTTCTAAAAGTTTCGAATACATCCATCTACCTTCAGATTCAGCACTAATCTTTTAGTTCATTTTGCAAACATTAGTGACGTGGCTTGGGGGAATATTCTTCAGGGCCAATCATAACAGAAAACTAAAAGAGTTTAAGATGCTCGAATTGACTTTTATTTAACAAGTATGAGCTATCAACATTGTTGAAAGACACTTCAATCGAAGCGAGTTTTTTCAAATAGCAAAAGAACTTTTCTCACATTATGGGGTAACAATAGTATCAAATTTGCAGTTTTCTCGCTTTGACAACCTTATTCTGCCTGCTTCAAATCAAGAAAAGGTTGAAAAATTTCAAGCTTAATTTCAAGGAGGCACTTTTTGTGGATCGCATAATTCCCAATCCGGGCAGATGCTACTACTCAGAAATCTTTCATTCAAATTCAAATTCAAATTCATTCAAATTCATTTAATCGTTTGCAAACATGGGTACATAATATAGGTATTAACAAAATATACAGTTTCTCCATATTTTGCCATCACTTGGCATGCAAAGATATGTTATAAAAAAATTATATAATAAAATTAGGTACAATAAGTTTAATTAATTGTAGTTTTGTTAAATCTTTGCTTTTTGTTTATCGAAAATCGCCCATTTTTTTATTATTATGGCCCGAGTTGTAGCGTCGGGAGGTACCTGTATCTGATATGGCGGAAGGAAACGCCCGGTGTCATTACTGCGGGGACCGCCGTGTGGACACGGTGGAACACACAATTGGGGAATGCCCTGCGTAGGCTGAGCACCGCCGTGCCCTCAGAGACGTGATCGGCGACGGTGACCTCTCGCGTCCGGCCCCCCTAGTGCGGGCCATGATGCGAAGCGAGGGGACTGGGGTGCCGTCTCCTCCTTTTGCGAAGCTGTCGTACTAGCTAAGGAGAAGGCGGGGCGCATGAGGCAGCGAAGCGCTGCCTCCTCACAACCCAGCCGACGCGAAGGACACTCCGGGCGTCGGGGATCGCGAGACGATCTCCGGCCACCGTAAGCGCGGGCCTGTGGACGGCGACCACGGGTGGCTCGCAGCCCGACCGGAACCAGATTCGAGCGTACGGCGCGTCGCGTTCCGCGCACGCCTCAAAGAGTCATCAGACCTCCACGGATGGGGCCTAATAGGGCTGATGCCGATTCGGAGCCGCGGGGAACCTAACGGGTTACCGGGGTTCCGGCTCGAGGTGCAGGAGTAGGAACGGGTGGTTTTTAGTCAGTAAGAGTCTGACACTCCCTCCCGCCTCACCCAGGCGGGAGCAGTCATTCGATGATATTCCCCCCTTTAAAAAATGACCCGAGTTGTATTATTATTAGTATATTGTAAGCATTTGGTTTTTAAATTTTCGGTAATGTATCGTACCGTGTAACCGCACCCTGTATATTATCAATATACAGTTGTTTTATATTGTTCGCAGTAACTGCAGTTAACATTTTCGGCCTATTGATTACTTGATCGGTTGAAACGTAGCACTATCCGTCTGGGAGCGATCGCAGATAACAATCACCTTTGCCCTATGAGCTGTTCTGAATTATCAATGAATATGTTTTTGTTATGCACTTCTTTTAATGTGTCACATACATCGTTAAAGTAATCTCAACACTTACAATTACAATTAACTACTAATTAAATATTTAAAAAGTGTAAATTTGTACCTACCTCCTCTTTTAAAAAGGTGTTAAGAAATCGCTTTATGTGATAAGATTTTTCTTTATAAATAGTTTTGTCTGATGAAGTTAATGAACTCACTTTTAATGAGAACAAATTAATAAAAAAATAATGATTTTGTACTTTTTGATGATAGTGTTAATAAATTACCGAATTCTTGTTCTGCATTTATTGAGATCATGTTTTGATGTGTTCCAAAATAGTATTTTTCAAGTTTAAACTGTCAAACACCGCGAGGACACCGGTGACCGCAACCTATTGTTCTTTCATTGTGGCTATAATGACTGTACTCAGAGTTAATATGTAAAAAATATGAGTTTAGTGATTCTTTATCTTACAACTTGAGTTGTAAGATATAATTTGTTTGTAAGTAGAGGTAGGTCCAATATTTACGTAATATTGTTTTGATGTAATGGATGGACTAATATGATGGATGGACGTATTAAATGATACGCCCACTTGTTATCAATAGATAAGGAGAAATCATACGAGTTTCTCTGACATCTCATTATTTTTTCATTTATGATTGTAGCTAACGTGAACTTCACAGTGTGGTTTGATTGTGCTTCAAAATAAATAAAATTAATTTGTTTTGAACTTCCTACCTTTAAGAATAATAAAAAAAATTGATAAGTTTAAAAAAAATCTGCAACAAATCATATTTTTTCTGGTTGTTCTAGGTCGTTGAAGAAAAAAAACTAAATGCTTTAAGAATTCATTTGTAATAAAAAGAACAATTTCTTAAATGAATTATTAATTGTTGTTCCTTTGTTCCGTTGATATGAGAAAACATGATAAGTTAAAATTAAAGTACCTTCAGAGTATGAGGATGCAGGCGGTACATTGAAATTTTTCTACTAATATAATAATGAATTAACAATGTAATTCAAGATACAGAAATTTAACATGCAGGTGGTACATTGAGAATTATTTTAATCAAGTAGATATTTACCGATGTGGGTATCACAAAAATTACAGTATAACGTATCGCTTTGATAATAGCATATAATCATAGTTCTATACCGATATTTGTAATTTTTTTACTTTTATTTATAATTATTTTTGTTCGTTATATTATATCTTTATTTTCGTATTATAAACATTACTTTAGTATCTATTTCATTTCATTTTTCTTTTATTTTTATTTCATTTTTATTTTATATTTTAGGAATTTAGTGAAATATTACAAAATATGGTGTTTTTAATTTTTCTCAAAATAGGTTATGGGATTGGATTTATTTCATGATGTTATTGGGTAGTTTGTCGAACATCTGCGGTCCTTCATATAAGATATTTCTTTTACCGTCCTTAAATGGTTATTAAGTTACCTCCATTTCAAAAGATTAACTTTACCCTTTTTGATCCATAAATAACATGGATAAATAATTAAAATTAAAAAAGGATATCTTACCACATTAACAAAGAATTCCAATTGTGTGCACACGTCTAGCGCCAAATCTTTTAACTGAAAGTCCGTAAATATTTCACTACCCGTCGGTTTTCCACTCACATACAGTGTCAAAGTTATTTGTTTTAGCAAACATAATGCTATGTAGCGTTCAAACTTTTTGTAACACATTTTAATAACAATTTAATTATAAACATGTAGAATCAACTAAAATCACACATCTAACAAAAATACAAATTAGTCACAAAAAAAAAGAAAAACAAAATATCGTGTTCTTAATTTAAATACTAATTTCTTTTTAATTTAAAAAGTTTGTTCGACAAAATTAAGTAATCAGAAAGAAGTTTGATAATATTGCGAACTTTTTGCTCCGATAAAGTGCGATAAAGTACAGTCGCGTGCGGTAGCGCGGTGCTGCGGTAGTTGTGCCTTCGCGCCGCCCCTCAACTCGGAACTGGGGCGCCACGCTACTGAGCTTTACACATAACCGTATCGCAGGGTGCTCCCAAAGCTCTCTTATTAGAGTGGAACTTCTACCTACAATGCGTCATTCCCATTCAAACTTTTGCTTGTTTTGAAATGAAGCAAAAAATGCTCCTTCAGGTCACAAACGAATTGCCAGAATGACTTTTCTTGTTTCAACACATGTGTGCGTACGTGATAATAAGCATGCATTGTTGATCTTTAGGAAGTAAAGCGTTTTGCGTGCAGTTTTATTTTAATATAACTGGCTGATTTACAATTCCAGTCATTTACAAAATTTGCTTGTTTGCCTAAAGAGACTTACCTATGAACTACGTACTGATCTATACATTGCATTTTCAAATTAATTTTTTTATTAACTATTAGCTTAAGTAATAATGAGATTTCCGTATGCGTCTGACTCCATGAAAAAACCCTACTAGTAACCTAATGAAATAGTTAATTTCTATTATGAAAGTTCACCTTTGTTAGTGGATAGTGGATGGCACCTAGATTTACGACTAGTATTTGATCGATTCGGTCTATTTTTGGAAGTATGACTGTTAGACTTATTATTCTCAATTGAATAAAAAGTCAGGCAGTCGTGCAGGTCTGTACGTGTTTTATACTTGATAGCATAGCACGTGCCATCCCAAAGTTATTCCGAGGACATCGTTCGGAATTTAACTGGCTAGTCGAAATTGTTCCGAGTGCATTTTTATTTAAGCGGTCACAAGAATGGGGTAGGTGAATAATTTTTATTTTATTCTCTGTCTGGTAGATTTTTTTAAACCATTGGAGACGTGATTTTTATTTTCTAACAGAAACAAATAATATCGACGATATGTTGATTTTTAAAATGTCGCGTGATCGTGATGGCACTTCTAGGGCTGTTTTATATTTACGTAGAAATGAAGTATTGTTTTATTATACGACAAAATAAAAAAATACGTGTCTATATTTTTTCACTATGTACTTAATTGACGGAGTAAATAGATTTTTAATTTTAATACCCCGTCATCATCCCTATTACAACATTCTGCTTGTTACGTTTCGCCCTTGAGAAAGCGCATCGAAACGTAAGGTGTCTTCTTCTTTTGAAATTTTGTCCAGACGGTAATTTTACGGTAGGTCCCTACATACATACATAACATGACTCCTTTTATCCCCGAATGGGTAGGTAAAGGTGCACTTTACGGCACTTAATGCCACTTTACAATGTAACACCCACTTTACACTATTTATGTTATGAGTCCCATGCATGTAATAGCGGGTGAGCCTATTGCCATATACCGGGCACATTTCCAGACTCCGTGCTACTACTGAGATTTTAAAAAACTCAGTAATACAGTGACCCGTTAGACATTTAACCTAAGTTTGAATGCACCGAGATGAGACAATAGAAAATACATTGTGTCTCGCGGGGATCCATGTTTAGACACACGACGAGTTATACCTACATTAAGTTCACAATTAGGAAAATTATCTTATATTTTCTTTAGCTTGAAACGAAAAGCCCTTTGCTGTATTGCGGTCTCTTTCCTCGTTACTACACACAAATAATATGTAATAATTACACCACATTAAAACAAACTTTTCGCAGTGATTCATCTTACGATTCGTAGTAAACGCGTCACATTTAAAGTATTTAATGAATGCCGTCGATATTATTACGTGGTACGAATATTTGTACATACACATACCTATATAATATGTTGAATATATTAAATTCAGCGGAAGTTAATGAACTATAATATAATTGCGCAATCGAAGACGGGGGCACTCCTAAGTATGTTAATTTTAATATTAGGAGCGGATAGACTGCCTCGTGGTTATGAAAATGCGAGTAGAGAACACGTGGTCGCAGGTTCGGTCTCTGGGTCGGACTGAGTACAAAACAAGTTATGCGGTGCATTCTGTACAATATACTTAGCCACTTTTTTATGTTATGGGACTCTTTTGGTAAGGTGAAAGCTGGTTGTCATTGATCTAATAACTAATTAGAGCTACCATTGACAATTAAGATTGTTCTCGGATTTTCAATTTTCTAGAGACGCTCAATTTAACGTGCGATAACTCGATCCACTCGACTGGTTACTTGATTAATATATCATTTTTATCGTATATGGAATTAAATAATTGATCTCGAAAGTACCTACATTTTAAAATATGTAAGTATGTAGCCACATTATAAAAGAATCCGGAATTAAATGTCCGCGTCAATTTATTAATCAACAATTTTACGATTCAATAAAAACAATATTGTAACTTGTAAGTAATTTCAAAAAAAGAACATTCGACAAATTCTTTTGGCGCGAATTTTTGTAAATCGAACTTGGTATTGTTATCTTTACTTAAACGTCAATCAATTGTACGTCGCGCTTACCTAATTATAGTTCTGTCACTACAAAGAGACGGCACGATATTTAAGTACAATTTAAAATTGGGTAGCCTTTCAATATTCGGGTTTTAGTAATGGAAGTTAGTTCATAACTTGTATATTGCTTGATTCCAATAAACCATCGCGTCCTTTAGATTCATACATCACATTGGTTCCCCTATAAACAGTCTATGGCAACACCCGTATCTACTTACTTATATCACCATATTTTAAATGTCATTTTTTAATATTTTTCCTTTCCATTTGAACTAGGTAATTTATAAGGTCGTTGCACATATAAACTTGAATTAAATCGGGCCCCTCGCAATATGGTCTAGGATAGGAGCCGAAAGATCGTCTCGGTCACCTTCAGTGTTCCACCTTCTAGTATTAATTATTTTAATGTCAATAAATCTTATTGACATTTAGACGTAGGTATTATTATATACCTAATGTAATAATATATTGTATATTTGTATCAATCAGAGACATGACTACCTATTCGGGGCTACCTGGGCTTTAAAATTTAGTGGTCAGAGCCATATTATCCCTAAGCCAAACTAGGCAACTACTCAGGGCTCTTGATAGTGGCGTAACTACATGGTGGCAAGGCGGCAAAATGCCACGACTCGCAGCTGGCACGCCCCTATTCAGAGGTTTTCATCTCTGTTTTCATTCTTCCTCTCGTTTTTATTGACAACGGAGGCCCATCTGAATTTGCCACGGGCCTCGATCAGTACAGTTGTACACCTGGTGCCAGGTCACAGAGTGTCCATGTGTCCATGTGTGGCGGCGCCGGCGCCGGCGTTGCCAAAACGTTGCGGGCGCCTAGGAAGTGCTTGCTTAGGGCACTCACTAGGTTTTAAGTAGTTAAAGTAATAAATAACTAACGAAATAATGTAGCGAAAAAGATTTACATAATAGATTGCCGTTGAACCGATAAATGTTCACCGTCAGGAAACCTTTTGTTCAGGGTGTAATATAGGCAAATTTTTATCTCGGTTTACCTACAACATATGAATCTGGTCTAGAGAAATATATTAAAGAATAGAGCGTAATAAGTCTATCAAACTTAATTTATGTGAATACCTTATTTAAAAGGATTCTCAATTGTGCCACCTGCGTGTTCATTTCCTTTAGGTATCTTAAGTTGTTTTTATTATTAATACCCACATTATTAATGAATTTTATATATTTTAATAGAAAACATTTCAATGTACCCGCCGGCCCCACCCGCATGCTCATACTATGTATGTACTTACTTTAATTTTAAATTATTATGTTTTCTCATATCTTAAGTGAATTTTCTTTTTATGTTTATGAGAAATAGAATTTATTTCTTAAAATTTATTTAAATTAAAATCAGAATCAGAGAAATCTTATATATTCGACCCGCAGAGTGTAGATACTATTTATTACCTATTATCTTATTTATTTTATTTTTTATTTACACTTCTTGCACAAGGGGTATACAATGGCGGACTTAATGCCTAGTGGCATTCTCTAATAGTCAGTCAACCTTAGAGTGATGCAGAGGTCACGGAGAACCTAACGGGTTCCCGGGGTTCCGCCTCGACGTAGAGGAGAAGGAACGGGGTGGTTTTTAGTCAGTAAGAGTCTGACACTCCCTCCCGCCTCACCCAGGCGGGAGCAGACATTCGATGATTTTCCCCCGTTAAAAAAAGGGTGATGCAGAGAGACACATTATTTTATGACGCGATTTTATCTGCAGGCGGAAAGTTAATATATTAGTAAATAAATATCAATTAAAGAAATCAATATACATTGACCTATTCATTTCTTTCCTGCTTGACTGCTATAAATTTAATTGAGGTGTGTGGTCTTGCATTAGTATTTTAATAAAAAAAAAACGAGATTTTATTAAATTAGCGATTTTAAATAAATTAGATTCAATAGTATAGTAGGAATTCATTTATATTATGCTTATAAATTTACTAACAATATCTAATGAGATACAATTCTAGCCTGTTATCAGCTAAGCTTAGATAGTCATAGTTACAATTTATTAGTCTGCCTAGTCAGTAGTTCTCATTTCGGAAATGAAAAGGTGAAGTAATTTTCGCTGCACAGTTGGTGCGGTGGCTGGGCAAACGGCTACCGTGCAACGTGTCGCGAGTTCGATTCCCGCACGGCACAACACTATGTGTGATCCACAAATTGTTGTTTCGGGTCTGGGAGTCATTGTGTGTGTGAACTTGTATGTTTGTAAACGCATCCACGACACGGGAGAAAATCCTAGTGTGGGGCAAAAAATCATCTGTCGTCAACAAGGCACCTCTGATGTTACTACAGGTGTTCCTAGACTAAG